ACCAACATTACTAATTTCAAAGTCATGAAAAGGCACCAACGAAAAAAATACACGGTGGCGACGGGCGATTCACCCCCTAAACCTCCGAAATCGCCACAGTAAAAATCAAGACGAGGGCGAAAAAAAATCAATATATCTTGAAAAATCGCCCCCGCCATAAATTGATATTCCCTATGAATTAATAAACCAATTTATTGATGGGTCTGAGTGAAATCTCCGTTCCAACTACCAACTCCAAAACTAGAAACTTCCATCAACATTTTAAAAGTTTTGTGAGTTGCAGCGGATCGGCGGTCGTACCTACTGTAGCTAGATCTACAGCGGTATCTGCCTACCTGCGCCTAAGCTCCCGGCGTGCGGGCTCCTTGTATGAAGCAAATAAGTATTTGCGAGTGACGAGAGCTCAACTGCTAGCGACCAAATTGGTACGTAATATGTTTATTTAGTCTTTTTTCTGGCCCTAATTTTTATCATGGACAATGCAATCCCATTAAAAAAAATGTTATTCCGTCTAAAATTGTGTTATTTATAAGTTAAAACCATTAAATGCGAGTATATTTTTACTGTTGTCCCACATACTGATATATTTGTAATTACGAAACGTGCAAAATCAATGCCGGATTTTTTCCTGTAAAATCGGTATAAAGCAAGTTTCGTACACAGAAATTGAATTTTGTTATAAAAAAAACGTAAATAAATATATAAAGGATGTTCCTACTCCTCAGAATCTTTCTTACAACTGTTTAATTAAATTAAATTATTTATATACGATCGATGCCAGGCCAATTGTCATGAGTGATGATGACATCAATTTCTGTCTACGAAATGAAACTAGCTTTGGCTTGGCCTTTAGAATTAGAGTCTATAAAAAAAAAATAAGGCCATGATTTTGCATGTTTCGGCATAACAAATAGACCCTACATCGGTATGTGGGACAACAGTAAAAATATTTACTCACATTTAATGGTTATAAATGGTCTAAATAACACAATTTTAAAGGGAGTTGGTCTACATTTTTTTTTTAATGGGATTGCATTGTCCATGATAACAATTAAATTTGGGACAGAAAAAAAGACTAAATAACATATTACCTACCAATTTGGTTGCTAGTAGTATGATGGCTAAGGAAAAACACAACTTATTGTTACAGCTTACAATATGGCTTTAAGGAAGTAGCCCCTTGGGTTTTTTTTAGGCAATGGGGAAAAGTAGCCCCCATAAAAAAATTAATTCCTAGCCCGCGTGTCAGTGATAATATTTTCTTAGGATATGAAAAACGAACAGTTAAACAAAACACTCCTTTTGACAAGTTTTAGTTACATGTATTGTAAATCATAAAGCCACACGTTTAACACAAAGTGAATAAATCATGGGTATCTGAATGTCTGCAATACTCTACATTACATGTACGCTACAATTGTATCTATATTTGCCTTTGCTTGGAATTTAATTAGGTAAAACCGCGTTTAAAAACAATACAACCTTTAAAAAAAAAAAGCCCCCCTGAGCTCCAAAATAGCCACCGCAAAATAATTAAGGGGGGCTATTTTTTTAAGGGAAAATCTGAAAAGAGCCCTCGTAAAAAAAAAAGTAATTTTTTGGTTGAAAGGCACTAAATATCAACAAACATGGTCTACAACAACTCTAAATGACAAAATAATCCCAGCCATGAATTTTTTTTAAGCATTTGATAGCCAAAAACTTGAAAATTTTTGTCATAAAAAAAAATCTTCCGATCCGATACCGATCAAAGGTGCGAGGGTGTCACTCCGATCTTCCGATCCGATCAGAGCCCCAACTTACAGGGTTAGGTGCAATTTACATTACTATAATGCGGACCTCTTACAAGACTTTGGTGATGTTTGCTCAAGCTGAAAATCAAAGACACGCAATGTACATTAAGAAAACTGTTATTGCATTACCAATTTGATATCTGCTATGCGATTATAGAGTATGGAGAATTTAGGGCCCGTTTACTAAAGTTTTACACTTATCAGTCGCTGCTGAGTTAAAAGTTATTTTCAGGGTCAGGATAACAATCTTGGAGGAGGCATATTGTTTTGAGCTTTGAATTTGTCAATAACATCCTTCTCACTCAGTCTTTATACTCTGCAGATAAGGGTAATATTTTATATCTAAATACAAGTTCTCCCATACCCCATAGATGAACTTATTGCTAACTGTGTTAAACTCCTTCTTCATTTATCATTATTTTAACAGGTGACAGATTCTAAGGGCCATACATTGTACACAAGGGAAGATGCTACCGAAGGAAAATTTGCATTTACTACAGATGACTACGACACATATGAAATTTGTTTTATGACAAAAGTACCTGCAGGTAAGTTTTGAGATGAAAAATATAAGTAGCAAGTCAGTCAGTTCATTTTGACTTAACTGTTATTTTTAAAACAAATTAAAAATCATCTGATGGATCTTATGCATAATCTTTACTTGTCTGCCCTAATCATCTCTTTCCTCAATCCAATTAAACAATGTTAAAAACTTATTGTTCAAAGGTCAATGAAAGCTTAGAAAATTGAGTCTCTAATGAATATATCAAGTTTAGAAATGTATTAGAGAAGGGGGAAAAGGTTTTAATGCATACCCCTAGGTTTTAGTCGTTGTTGACAATCTGCTGTTTGATTAATGTGATAGCAGTGTATTTTTGTTGTGGATTTAAAAAAAAAAAAAAAAAAAAATCCACTCATTTATGAATAATACAGGCTTGTCCTAATTAATCCACAAAACCATTGAATCATTGGGATATTAAAAGTAAGGCGATGTGAGACAAAAGAAAAGCTTTATGAAGCATCCAATGATCCAATTCAGAATAATAACAGAACAAATGTATTTGCTATTGATGCACTCATGCACTTTGATCATGGTAAAATAAAAAAAGTATATAAATAATCAACAATTCTAGCTAATATTTACCTGCTGGTGCTGTTATGAAGATGTTAACACTGAGAAACATTCGTATATGATTTCTTTCATTCTGACAGGAATGCGTTCAGGAGAGAGAGAAGTCAGTATTGTGGTCAAACATGGAGTAGAAGCTAAGAGCTATGAAGATGTGAGTTTCTCTTGTATTATAAAGTTCATGTCATTAGATGTATCACATAAGATATCCACATCAGATACATATAGTTCTCACAGGGCAACAAAGGGGTTAATGCCTAGAGATTCAAAACTTGATAATTGTACACTTTTGTGTACATTTTTACTTTAAAAATGTAGAGAAAGGGTTTAATTTTGTTGTGATAAACACACATGAAAAGTGAAAATGCTATATTTACTTCAAGAAAGATTGTTTAAAAAACATGTTATCATTTGTATGAATGTATTGTTAAAAAGATATTGCCTGAGCTTTGGAAGAGCGTAATTGTGAAATAAGTTAATTTCTATAATTTGCTTTATCATGATATATATTCAGAATATTGCATCTTATGTTAATATGGATCCTCAGGATGTTTATTTGATTATTTGTATGTTCCAATATACCACAATTTTGTATTCATTGTAGGTGTTGTATCACATCTCCTGGCTATATTTTATGTTATATACTTTGAGTCTCTTGCAGTGAACTGCATTTGTGACAAATGCCCTGTATGTATTGAAACCTTTTGGAACCTCTCTCTGAACTACTACCTTATTGTTTGTTTTCACAGTTAGCTAAGTCTGAGAAGCTGAAACCAATGGAGATAGAACTAAGGAGATTGGAAGATCTGTCAGAAGCTATTGTTAATGACTTTGGATACATGAAAAAGAGAGAGGAAGAGATGAGAGACACAAATGGTAAAAAAAGCATACAATATGACAATATTATTCTCTTGAAATAGTTGCCCAAATTACCTGAAATGAGAGGAGAGAATATATCACAGTATCCTATGGCAGAATATGATAGATGTTGTTTTTAGTGTGACCTCTTCCCTTTGTGTTCTTATTGGCCATAATTTTATGTTGAAACTAACCTTCAAATAGGTAAAAAGGAGTACCGTACCTGGTACCCTATTTAGCTTCAAGAAGAAAATCTCTAAATTGATATACACTTGAAATCTTCTTTAGCTTTTGCTCTAGACTGCTTCTCATTTAGCAGGTGGTTCCACCATAGAATCTAATTGATATATATATATATATATATATATATATATGTAAGAAAATAACCTATACAACAAATTTGGAAACTTTAATTGAAAAGAATATGCAATGCGAAAGGGAATTGGAAAATAATGGTTGCATTTCTTAATTTAAGTTTAATTTAATTTAGTTTCTGATTGCTGTCCTTCCTGATATAAGCTACCTATCCATTATTCTCTCATTTTCTTTTGCATTGTGTATATTTCTACGAGAGTTTCCAAAGCTGTTGTGTAGGTTATTTCTTTACATTGCTTTTCCTTGTTAAAAACTCACCTGTCCCTGACAAATGAATACATTACTGAAAATTGAAAATTTGTCAATATGTCAGTCAATTGAATCTGGCCCTGTCTTTGTGGTCTAATGGTTAAGGCACTGTCATAGTTTCCTGGGTTCAATCCCTGGCAGAGACATTTTTTCAACCTTTGCCAACATTTCCAAAAAGGAGGACAGCAATGGGGAACTTTGATTTATGCTATGCAACCATCATTCTCACATTTTCTTTCACATTATATACATGTGTATATATATGTATATTAACTTTCAATTTGTTTTTATATTTCAGAATCTACAAATTCAAGAGTGTTGTATTTCAGTATCTTCTCAATGGTTTGTCTAATGAGCTTAGCAACATGGCAAGTCTTCTATCTCAGACGCTACTTCAAATCCAAGAAGTTGATTGAATAGATTCTAAATCTATGGTGCCTTCATTCATTTCTTCCTTTCTATATTTGTATTTCATTAGTTCCTAAAGGTGGGTATGGGTTTGGGCAAATAACATAGTAATGATCAAGTAATAACTGCTCATTTCTGATATGAAATATCTGCTAGATCTTGCTGTCCATTTAATTCAATGATTTTCATGTTGAACTTCTCTTGTTTAGTTGGATGGGGGATGGCTCGGGAAGTCATCAAATTGCTATGTTTATCCCTTGGGATAGTAAGAGTTTTATTAGATTTGTTACAGCCATGTATGTCTTGCAAGGGCAAAATATGTGGAAATTATTTAGATGATGTCATAACGCAATTAATTGGTTATTTTGATGTCATCATCAAAACTTTGGTTCTGTGTCATCATGTGATTACTTTGACAACGATTAATAGACCCAATGTCATGACTCTAATGAGACAATCCTGTGATCTTAAAACATTCAGCAACTTTAGCACAATGTAACAGCAGTGTACAAATATAGTTCCTGTAAATGTGCAATGTATCATGGTTATAAAAAAGATCTTGGTGTGGGAAAGAATCTGCACTACTGCTGATTTATTTTCAGGTTGTGGATTTTCTTGTTTAGTTAGTGCAGGAAACAAAGCTGTTCACTTTTATGAATACCGGTAGTTGTTTTAAAAGGTACTAAAGTATACGGATTGATGTGTTTAAATTCAGGCTCCATGACTTGATGGTGGTGTTTGGTGTTCTCATTTGATTATCACCATGGGGTTACATTTCTTTATTATTCAGATATTGTTTGCAATTTGTTCATATTTCTTTAAAATGTAATGAAGAAGATTACAAGTTCAAGAAACTTTGTATTAGGTTTCTACTGAAATCTAGGTTACTTATGGATATTTAAAGGCATGCTTTATTGTAAATTGGCAGTTAATGATGTCTTTCTATATTTTAGGATGGATATCATACATAGGTTCGGTAATTCTCTACGTATGCCATATACTGTTCATATAGTGTTATTTCTCTATATCTCTGTATCTTGTGCACTTTGCACATTAATTTGTCTCTTTCTGTGTAGTGATGGTGTAGGTGTGTTATATTTTTTCGTTTGAATTGGATTGTAAGCATTTTGTTGTTTTTCTCATATTATCCTCTCTAAGATGATGGTTGCATGGTAATGAGTATAGATTAATAGTGAATGAGGCACTCATTGTATTTTCTGATTTTCAAGTTTATCTCTTTCTTTTCTTTCTTTTTATATATGTGTGGAAATTCAATTAAAAGTTGCTAACTGCATGTTAATTGGAAAATTGTGTATCTAAAACCAAAAACCTTCATTTGCCCTCCTTTTTTTTCTTTACAAACACCAAAATATTATAAGAGAGAAGTAACTTTGTGTAATATGCAAATTCTTTGCTAGTCTTTGTGCTTTCCCAATTTCTTTAATTTATAAATGAGTCAACATATAATATTTAATGGCCTTGAATGGGATAAAAGGGTACATCCTAGATGAGCATATTTCATAGTCTGCATGACGAACAAAATATACTCAAAGCAAGTGATTATACCTGTGTATCCCACATTTAAAAAAACATGCAATATTGTTAATATTAATTGTATGAAATCTATTAAACCATTATTATTTTGTATTGATCTCAACATTAAACAAAGGGAGAAAAAATTTGTCCTTTTAAAATTGCATAGTCATCTGGGTACTTTTTTTGCAAACCAATTGTTCTGGTCTGTGCAAATCCCTTCATACAAATAATAATACCCAATGTATGACAGACGTGCTCTGGCTGGAGTATATCTTACCTTGGAATAAGATTGCATAACTTTGTCTCATCTATATCTTGTCATTTACATAGGTGATTTGCTTTGAGACTAGATTTAATGTGTATTATCACACTTGACATTTTAGGACTGAAGTCTCGTGATAAGAGCAGATTTTGTAACATGCATTTCAAAAGTTTGTGATAAGTCTTGTCTTCTATCATGAATCCAGTTATGTAGTCATTTCTGAAGTTCTCTTCACTTTTTATTAATGCACTTAATTTTATACATGAAAACACAGCCTTGTGTTACTTTTCAGATATTGTGGGTATGTTCTACTACTACTACAATGAGTGTAGTCCAATTTATCAAAGATGAATGCAGTAGTTCATATTTCTCTATAGAATCTTATTTAAAGTTTACCTTTGTCATCAGAATTAATGTCCTGCAGTGTTTATACATTTCTTAAGACTTTATCTTGTCATTAGAATATAAATAAATTTAGAAAGAATACCTTGTTATCAATTTCAATAGATTTTGTGATGTATGTTTTCTTTTGTCTGGTGCAATTATGAGATGTTGATGTGACTATTTGAAGAATGGAACGGGATTTCAGAACTCTGAAAGTGTTGCGACGTGAGATGGTGAGATGGTCATGAACGAGCTGAAGACGAGAGTATTGTCACAAGACTGTTGTACATGAATTGTGTTGGTCGCAATGAAAATTTACAAGCTGGAAGGGAATCAAGTTCAAGTTCAAGTTCAAGTTCATTATTTATTTAATTTCATAGTAAAAAACAGTAACATCAAAATATTACTTTTACATAAATATTATTAACATAGTACAGTATTGACAGTAAAAACAAACAAATAGGAATTAGGCTGCCGTATAAAAACCCTGGAGGGTTTGTCTGGACGGCAACCAGAAACAGAAAACTAGTATAGTAAACTGTAGAAGAATCAAAGCAGTTTTTAAAGAAAAACTATTCAAACGTGAGAAAATGAAATTCCGTAATTGTCTGGGAAGATTATAATTATTGCCTGACGACTTTCACCTGATGCAAAAAACACACACCAAAAGTGACAAGTAGCTAAAATGAAGAGGATAAAAGGGGAAGAATATATTACGATCACATAATATTTTGAATAATAATCGATCAAAATACATAGGAAGGAATCAATGTATTACCTCAATATGAGCATTATCTATCATTCAACGCTGGAAATAAAATCTTAAATTAAAAACAAAAAGGCATCTGTTATGGTGAAAACACCCGCACTACCCGTTGACGCCGTTTGAACATATCTTCCGAGTGCTTAGTACCAGCCCTCCCAAGTTTTCCAACTAAATATTTTACCTAATACATGCTTAAATATTAGTAAGATTTATGTGACTCTAGGTCAGTGCAATACAAGAAACTAGTATCATTATTCAAATGGTAAAACAAGTAAATTCAGGCATAGTTCTACTTTACAAGACGATAGCACAAAATAAACTATTTCTCTTCATCGCTTATTCTGGTATACTCGTCATTGGTCTTGGGAATGACGTACAGCTCTTTGCTTCTAAGGGCATTGTCCTAGTTTATTCATACTAATCCGTGTCTTCTATAAACATTTTGATAGATCAATAGTCTAATAAAAGATCCTCTCCCCATACTATTCTGCGCAGTCTATGAGTAATATGCTTTCTACGTATAGGCCGAATAGTTTTTTTTAAGACCTTTAATCTTTTGTGACTGTGCTCCGAAGCATACAGCGATGTCCGCAAGACCTTTGTACTCTCTATCGGGTTAGAGTCAATATAGCCTAGCAACGATGTCAACGTTGTAGGACCTCAATTATACCATTTTTTCTGCAGAAACTCACATACTTAGTTGCATGGTCTCCCTGTCTATTTTGTACACTTGTTTATGCTTTTGTTTGCTTTGGATTTGACTTCAACGTGGAGGTACTAAACAATTTTGTCTGACGTCGAAGTATTGAGGTTCAACATGGTGGTGTAAAATTCGTCTGTCAGTGATATTAATTCGTTTATTCTAAAGTATTGATTTAACATAATGACGTTAATGTGATTTACCGCACATCGCGATCAATCGATGAAAGAACACAACCACGACCGCATCATAACTTGATATCTTTCGGACATTCAAGATAGGTCTTACTGTTCGAATGAGATTATAGTAATACAGCAAGGCGACGTGTGGCCTGATTAATACATTCTACCTTAAATCAACCACCACGAAGTTGATCCAAGATTGGAACCAAGCCCGGAACCAAGAAGGAAATCTAGAACTTAGTTCTGAATTTCAGAAGGAAGATTACTAGAAGATGGGTGACGAACCAGACAACGTGAACACCGAAGGGGGTGAGGTCGATCCTCAAGCTGAAATGAAAACCAACAACAAGGAATTCATACATCTTTTGAAGGAGAAGAAGCAAGCAGAAGATGCTCTGGCCGAGAAGATAAACGAATTACATCGAGTTGGAGGTAGAAATTATGAACTGATGCAACGAGTTGAACAACTAGAGAAAGAGGTGAACATTTCCTACAATTCTATATTCATATCACAGAGGAAATATTTTTTAAATTTATTCTAATAGTGTTACTTTGTTAAATAATTCGAATATTAATTGGATTATAATCACTAAAACCAATGGTTTTATATCAGTCACTAAATTTGTTATTATTATTATCATTAATGTTATTATATAAATCCCTTGTGTCAAAATATCTTTAATAGTTGATTCCTTATGTAGCAAACGCGGAAGACCCTGGTAGAGCGCCATGGGAGAAACATCATTGGAAGGGAATGTCAGTAATTAATGATGGATTGAAACATTCGGTATATAGCTGTATATTACACCCCTAGAACGTACAAGCCAATCCAATACTTTTTACATTTTTTCCTTCCGTTTTTCATAGCTCAACCTCGTTAAAATTGTTGGTTAAGATCACAACAAAATTATTCGGCTGTGCCTTGAAAGCTGATCTATAAAAAAAATATTTTCATAAGTTTTGGGTGAATATATCACGACCATCGTACAAAAATACGTCTGAATATTGATTTCACGGTTTGTAATGCAGACTCTCTACGTAAATTTATCTGCTCGGTCGCTTCGCTCCCTCGCCAGTGTTTTCCCCAAGGTCCACCATACTTCATGAGAATCTATAATGTATGTTTCTTTGTAAAATTGTGATTGCTTTTTATAATGCACGGCCATGCAGAAGAACAGCCATTGGCTGAAGTATGCCACCGTGCTAAAATAAAATTAACAAGCAAACAAACACCCCCCCCCCCCCCCCCCTCTGAAATTCCTAGTTACGGACCTGACAGATGGAATAGAAAAAAGGAGAAAAAGAAGAAGAAGAAAAAAAAGTATGTAGACTCAGGGGAATACAGTACGCATACCACCCCCTACAAAATTAAGAAAACGCCCGAAATAAGAATCGTTTATTACCCTGAAGTTTATTAACATAATCCTGCATCACTATTGTCTGTTACAGCTTGCTGAAACAAAGGAACATAAAAAAGCAATGGAGAAAAAGCACAAGGAAGAAACACTGAAAGCAGTTGAGAATATGCCACATGAAATGGGCAGTACGGCAAATATTTCAAAGGTAAGATTTTGGAATAGGACAAGATTATCAGAACGGAAGAAAATTTATTTTAATGCTTACGATATATGATTATTATGAATATTTGCTGGTGCTTGATCTGTAAGTTTCCTAAAAATGTGGTAATAGATGCTATTTTGAGTGCCCAAGTTTTGAAAGCAAGATAGCTTTCCTTCTGTTTCCTGGCCAATAATGCTTATTTAATGTATATTCTTTCAACAAACATTGTACATTTTGCATAGACGGGATTAATATAATGGAGAAAAAAAAGAACTGAATATAAAAGATCTTCAAAGAAGGAAAGGAATTTAATGTTTTTAATTTTAAATCTACATGTACATGTTGTACGATGCTACTTATTGTATATAGCTTCATTCATTCATAAAGCTTTTGTTTCCTATTATATGCATATTATTCTATAATTCTTTTTGTATGTATACTTTGATGTTTGATTTGTAGCAATTCCTATATGACTTTGTGTATCAATCTGTATGGCTTAATCTTTTTAATCAACTTCTATTAATCGCACAACAATTTTACGTATCCCTTACAGTCTCGTTATGAATTTTCATTTTCCTTGTTTTTCTCAACTTTGATGGTCCTTACGTTCCCCTTATTATCTCATGAATGTGAATTTGTTTCTTGTTCTTTAAATAGTATATTTTGCAATTTTATTTATTAATCATTGAATGTGTGCCCTGAAGTCCTGAACTTGAACATGAAGCATTATTTTGCAACGGTAATTACACATTCTGAATATTTCTTTCGTTTCCATTCTCTTTGATCCTTGACCTGATACATACAGCTGAAGAAGATGCGACCGAAGACAGGTGTAAAACACGCTAATACTCGATTGAAACCACGAAAGAAAGCAGCTACAGCATCTAACAAGAACCTCAAGAAAGAAACAGAAGCAGAAGCACATCAAGCGAATGAGAAAGATACATACAAATATTATGAGGTTAGTTCTGTATAAAGACGAAACTATATCTATGTTCGTTTTCTTTCGCTTCTTTTCATATTGTTTTTCTAGTCAACTCTTTTTGTCTTTTTCCCAAAATACAAAACAAAAAACAAAAAGCACCAAACACAAGAGGAATAAAACCGCAAACAACAGTCCTTTCACTAACTTGACTTATGAGTGGAAATAGAACATTATATAATTCCTTGAATCTTTTTGTTTAAAAAAATAACCTTTAAACCTGTCAAAGGAAAGGTCTAAAACGTGAACACCCACTGAACTTGCATGGAAAGTTAACAAATTAATAATGATTTAGATAACATATCACCGTTTACATAATATTTTCCTTTTAACTTTGTTAGGAGATCGCCCAGAGATACCCTCAGTTAAGGTTATCCGTGTTGATGGCAGCAGAGAAGAAATTCATCGATGCTGATGTAAACGCAGATGGGGTGAGCATATTCTTAACTCTTTCTTTTTGACTTAAAGTTTTATGAACATCAAAATAGACCAGAGGTGTTTACAAGAAGCTTTACCCACGTCGGCAAGTTTTTATCATAGAATTACACTACTTCCTTGTAGGAACAAATGCCTAAATCAATGTTGGTCTAATGTCATCTCCTATCCAAAATGTCCTAGCGACAACCTTGCCTAAGGAATCAAGATGCCATTTCAATTGAATGCGTCATTATATGTTAAAATGGACAGGTTTAATGATGGGCTATATGTGTTTAATCGTTTCAGTCAGGGCAAACGATTTGATTGATACCTCAACATTACCACCACATTATATGATTACCACCCAGACACATACATATCAGCAATTTATTTCGCATAACATTCGTCAAGAAAAATGAAGTCGCAAAATATTAATTGATCATTATATCTTCTTGCTCTGCAGACGATAGATGCGCAAGAATTGGACAAAATTCTTGAGAGCGGGAACATGCTTTTCACTAAACAACAAGTTATGGATATTGTGAAGGAGATCGATTCTGATGGCTCCAATGATCTTGATTTCATGGAATGCCTTGTGGTAAGAAACTCTTGATTGCTAGTTTTATAACTCGTTAAATTTGTAAGTCCTAAAAATGGTTCGAGACAGAAATTGATGTGGATTATCCCTGCCATTGTTTATTCGTCTATGGGTATATCCGCAGTTCTATACATTCAGAAAAATATACCATCAGCAGGGGCGGCGATTTCTTTTCATGACCGGGGGGACGAAATGCGAGGAACGAGGGAAGAGTGACGTAATGAGCAAAAACGTTTTTTTGGGGGGAGAAAAAAAATCTGTATCATCACCGCTCTTATACATGTTACATGCAGGCCCCGCGGAACGTTTTTCAAGGTGGGAGTGGGGGGGGGGGGGGCTAAAGTATTTGCGATCAGATAGAGCAAAGCAAGTGGGGCGTAAAATGGCGTGGGGTCCAGGGGCGGAGCCCCATGAAGCTCAGAGTTTTTAGGCATTTAATAAGGGTCAGATGAGAATATTTTGATACCTTATTTGTGACACTTGCATGCAGGTCACTAATCGGAGTGGGGTCCAGGGGGCGAAGCCCCCAGAAGCTCAGCGGTTGTAGGCATTAAATTACGATCAGATGAGCATCTAGGGGCCGCCTTAGGGCCCTTGGTGGGGTCTAAGGGCGGAGCCCCCGGAAGCTCAGGGTTTTAGGCTTTTGAATATGGTCAGATGAGCATCCAGTGGCCTGCCGAGGGCCCTGGTGGGGTCCAGGGGGCGGAGCCCCCGGAAGCTCAGGTGTTTTAGGCATTTAATTGTGGTCAGCTGAGCAACCGGGGGCCCGCCTTAGGGCCCTTGGTGGGGTAAAGGGGCAGCAACATTTGTAAATTAGTCACTGGTATCAAATTAGAAAATGAGTTTTATCGGGTAGGGGGGGGGGGGGGGGGGGGGGGGGGGGGACTGCCCCAAGCCCGAGTGAGTGAGCATAATTAATGAGAGGGGTGAAGGTGACGAAAGTGATTAACCCCTCATAGCTTTTGAAGTTTTGTTGTATTACAGAATTATATTCCTTAGCAAAACTATAGTATGAAAACAACAATGTATTGTTTTCACACTTCACTTTTCTACAATATTTACTTGTAAATTTTGAAGAATATTATGCGAGGGAGCAAAGCTCCCGAGCCAGAAGATTTTCGCATTTTTATTTGTCTAAACGCTGCACTCTTGGACCCTCCAAAGCCTAATAGTGTGTTACAGTCTTTAGTCAGTATTTGCTGTACATTATTTTTTTGCACTTTTTCAAATTTTCTGGGGGGGACGATCCCCCCTACAAAAATCGAGGGGGGGGGGGACGTGTCCCCCCCCCCCCCCCGTCCCCCTGGGATCGCCGCCCCTGACCATCAGTGTTTAGATTTACAATGGCATCATGAATTCGATCATAACATATATTAATTTCCCAATGCGACATGATTGTCCGGAAATAATTACAAAAGTAGTATTACAATTGTTTATAGAAAGCTTTTCGTTAAATTTATCGAAAAGAACAACAAACATCATGCCCTCTTTTCTTCATAAACACATTTTGAAAGCTTAAAAGCTGTTTAATCACCGGGTTTTCTAAACTATCATAATCGACCAGAAAACATTTCGATTTGATGTATATATATTTTCGAGATGAGCTTTATAGGTTTCCGGTCAAACTTGGGTAACTGACTTACTGGAAAAAATATTCAGCATTCCTTAGGGAATTGGACCTATACAGCTTTTATTTGATATCTGAAGTCCTGTTTAATAGTCGTGTTCCTTCTAACTGTTTGCTTACAGGTTATCGACAGGTTACATCAAAACAAGAAAACAGCATTACCAACCACTCTGGAGCAGAACAAGAGTACTGTTTGTGTGATTCAATAGAACTCTTGTCGCTTGAACCACTGAGTATTTTTATTTTGAAATATCCACGGTTTCATGCAGTCAAATTTGTCACATGAATATTAATGTAATTATATACCATCGATATCAACGGTGCTAACTGCAGAATCCACATCATTATAACGGACTGTATAGGACTCGGGGAAAAACAATGTGGATGGATTGGGACAAAACCTATTTTTGTTCGCAAATAATAAGTTATAAGTTATGTTTCTTGAAGCGGAAATGTACGTGAAAAATGTAAAAGATATTATGATTTGCAGAGGATAAGTAAACGCAGCAGCAATATTATCTCATTAGACTCACTCAGTGTATGCTAATGATCTTGATTGACAGAATATATTTATATATAGGACTGAGTCAGCTCACATGCAGTAAGCGTGATATTGAAGCTGAGAGTAAACAGTTACTAAGGCATTTTTAAATGACAGAGGCAGGGGTATGTAATTGAATGGTTCTTATAGGCTATATTCATGCCTTGAATATACTCGTCTTTGAGTGAAGTTATAAGAATATTTTGAAAGCAATTTCAAACATTTCGGCAAGAAATCAATGGACCATGTTGTCTTTTTGACAAGACTATGTCACAAAACTCTCTGTTCAGTATTTATGGACATTTTCCCCCAAGTAAACGTTACTTATTGCATTCTTTCAAATGTTTGATTTCATTAGATGGAATAAACATCCTGTATGTTTTTAGATAATTATGTAGGGCAAATCTCGAGAATACTGTTTTGTCACTGATAACCTGACTATACATGTATATATTATGCCATTGCTTTCACAGATTTAAAATTTGAAAGTTAGTCGAAGGTGTTGATGGAATTAATAGATAAACAATTGTACTAACACTTGTCTCTGTTGATCAAGATGTTCCAAGTGGGTAGCATGTAGAATTCATTTCTTCATATACTCAGAATACCGTAGTCATTAGTGGGTGAAGTAGATTTTGAACGCCTTCATGATGTGCTTGTTTCTTACAGAATGTGCTATACATGTAATATGCAATACAAGTGCGTTTCTCTGTCTTCATGTCCAAGATTAAATTACATCAAGTTGTAGAAAATAACTTAATATAATATGAAAAAATTACAGATAAAAAATAATAATAAAAGGGACTACTCTGATCTTAGATTTTCATGGTAGGCCCTATTTTATATTTCAATCAAGTTTTATGATATTATACAATTACTTGCGATTGTTCTTAACAATGTATAATGGCAAGTAAGAAGAGAAAAGAAAAAACAAACAAAAAAAGTCAAATAAAACTGATCTGTAGACATTTCATGAATTGGGAATTGAAAAGGCCGTAATTATAGTAATCTTTATTTGCAATAAATACCCAAGACATTTCACATGTATGGATACATCTTAAATCATGATACATTAGATTGAATAGAAACTGTCTCTCTTGATATTTTATTTTTAGGAAATAGGGCAGAGTGAATATCATTCTCTTTCGTTTCGTTTATTCATAATCTTTGGGAGGATGTATAGTGTTAAGCACTTTCTATAACTATGTATTGATAATCAGTGTGTCTGTAAACTATGTTGTATCATGTCATTATATGTTTTTCAAAAATTATAACTTCAGTATAAGATGTTGTGTGTAATTATTTATAAAATTGTTCTTTGCATACCTGCCATCTCCTACATATGACTCGCTTTGTTTACACATGTGTTTATACCTGTTGAGTGCCTTGCCGGTGTGACTGCTAGAATGTAACCCGCACCGATCGTCCGACTTTTAGAGATCGATCGAGAGCGGACGATCGGTGCGGATTTTTCCGCGCAGAATGAAACGACTGGATAACCCATATTCAGCTTTGCCAGCTAGCTAGGGATGAAACTACAGGCAGTGGCGGATCTAGTAGGGGGGGGGGGGGGGGGGTGGTACAAATTGTTAAATTTTCGAGGGCCAAAAAAAAAAGTGCTCACCTCACTACCCCCCCCCCCCCCCCCCCCCCCCCAAGAAGAAGAATTATAGCGTAATTATTTAGCCCGCGCTTCATCTAGCTAGCATGCATCATGTTCAACCAAGTCAACAAACACAGCTGGTTACGATAAAGCGCGCGTATACTGCGACCTTTGACCATTTTAATCGCTGTTTTAATCGCCTTTTTCTCCCGAATGCTTTCTAGTACCCTTTTCTAACTGCACTGATTTTCATCGAATGCATCCGGACGCATCCGATGAAACGGTCAGTTAGAAAGCAACAGAGGAGGAAAAGGCGATTAAATAGCCGATAAAAAGAAGAGAAATAGGCGATTAAATTCTCCTGCTCAACTGAGCAGGAGAAATTCTCATTCTATCGGTGTGACACCGATGAAACGTCCAGTTAGAAAACGTTCGGGAGAAAAGGAAGAGAGAAGGAAGGAAAGGGAAAGAAACAAAAAAAAAAGAAAAGAAAAGAAAGGATATCAGTTGCAATTTTCCTGCAAACAAGATGTGGATCGCGGAGTAAGGCCGTTGCCTCTGACCCCCCCCCCCCGCCCTCCCGCCAAAAAAAAAAGAGGGAAGAAGGGAAAGGGAAAGAGGAGAGCTAAAATGGAACACAAAAGAGGTAAAAGAAAAGAAAAGGGTAAAAAGAAGCAGAGATCAGTTGCGATTAATCCCACCAACATGGTGTGGATCGGGGGGAGGGGGCGAAAGGCCACTGCCTCCCTCACCAAACTTAAATGAGAGAGGGTGAGAGAAGTAAGGGAAGGGAATGGGGCGAAAAAAAGGAAGAAGAAAGGTAGGGGAGATCAGTTTTTCTTTTTTTTGTGTATTTGATTTTAAAGCCAAAAAGCCAGATATTAAAAGTTAATCATTTTTTCCGATTTTGGTGTGATAAAATATTTATTGTTGGTGTTGTCGATGTATGGGAAAGGGTTCCAAAGCACAATATGTTAATGGATTCCTCAAAAAAGATTTGAAAAAAGGGCCTATGGTGAGGGGGAGCAGTGTAGGAAAAAAAACTGTTAGGGATCGAGCCCCTTTGGAAGGTCTTTGGAGGGGGCGTCAGCTTGCTGGCGGAATGTAATTTGCATATATAGGCAGCTCGAACAGGTGTGCGAACTAATTCTGCCACGGAGACCAGGGCGTGGCATGAATTAGTGTGTAATTGAATCATTCTAGCTTGAACTTTCAACGAGACAACTTTTATTTACAATAAAAGTGCGTTGTGTCATGTAGTGTTACATGACTGTGTTTGAATAAGGTTTTTCAGAGTTTTATGCTCGTTGAGTTTTATCTCTGGTTTTTTATCCTGGACCATGATAGGTCCGGTTTCCAGTGAAGGAAACGAGAAGAAATGTTTGTTAAACATTCATACTGAATAAACGGCAGGCTCTCAGTAGTCGTTGTCATGCTATTCCACAATAATTGAAGTGTATTATTGTGTTATTTGTGTGTATTGGGAGTCAAGATCAGGGATAACAGACGAAATAATATGTGAGATTATATGACAGACTATTAAATATCAGGAATATTGGATGCTCTGTTTCAAATACAGTCCAGATTGCCGAGCAATGAATTATCTCATGCTTCTTGTCCAAAAACCATATCTAACTGGTTTTTAAAACGGTATCATTTTAATTTCCATTTCCCAGCATTATTTTGAACTGTCTTGAACTGAAGTTGTTTTCCTTTCTTGAAATGACACTACAGCCAGTCTATTCTGTTCCTGTAGGCGTATGGAAAGAGCTTGCCATCCAGACAAGGAGAAAGGACCATTTTAAGTACCTTTAGGGACAATACGTCAAAATAATGCGGTCATTGTTGCAATGTCAGGAATGCTATTTCTACCTCTTTGGAAATCCTCGCAATGACAAAAGTATTCACTCGATAAAGGGAGTGTCCGTTCTTTTCTTCAATTCATTAATTGATGCCATGTTAGAAAGAGCTGAGTAATTTGTTACGTAAATATTCAAATATAGTCGATGCGAGCTATTTAAAAAAACTGAATCGAATAGCCTGCATCTTTAATATGAATAACAATGAGCAGTGCCTAAATACAGCTGCACTGCATTTCTAAGTTAGCTTCAACGGAATGTTACTTTCAATGGCATGTTATAGTTTGAATGCACCTGTTTCAAAACATAACAATCATTAAATCAGCATTAGAAAGTGTTAACAACTAAAAAAGCGAACCAGGTAATCGCAGTGAGGCAAAGTGCTCTTGTGGATAGGCGACCGCCTAGTAATTGGAAGGTATCGGATTCGATAACCAGCTAGTCCATATTTTTGTTTAAATCTTGAAACAAACAAAAAACGTATGTTATTTTAACAACAAGAAGTGAACCAGGTAATGGCAGTGAGGTAAAGTGGTCTAGTGGATAAGACTGATCGCTTCATAATGCAAATGCAAATGTAAATGTACTCGGTTTGATTCACAGCTACTCCTATTTATACCCCATGTGTTATTTTTACCATTTTGTTCGTCACCCCATTATATTGACTTGTTTATCTCTTTTAAAGGGGACACCCCCCCCCCCCCCCACCTCTTCAACAAAGGGGAAAATGACACGTGATACTTCTTCTTTAACAAGCGACTCTCTGATTTATTTAGAATACTTCAATACTTTTTCAGTCCGAATGAGAAGGTGAGAGAGAAAGAGAAAGAAAGAAAGAGAGCCAGAAAGAGACAAGAAAAGAGAATCCAAGAGAATCTCAATCCACATATTTACAATTAATTCAAATATTTTGGCGGGAAAGCCAGATATTTAAAAGTTAATAATTTTCCAATTTTGGGGTGGTAAAATAATTATTGTTGTTGTTGTTGGTGTAACGGAAAGGGTTCCAAAGCACAATATGTCAATGGATTCCTCAAAAAGAACAAATGGGCCTATGGTGGGGGAGGGCGGGGGGGGGGGGGGCAGTGCAGAAAAAAAAACTGTTGAGGAGCCTCTTTGGGGGGCCCCAGGCGCGGATCTAGGATTTGTTAGGGGGCCCCAATTTGAAATTATGCTAGCCAAATATTGGTACGTAATGGTGACACCGGCAGTGGCGAAATTAGCAAAAACGTTTAAGGGGGGGGGGGGGGGTAGAAAAAAAATCTGCACCACCCACTTTTACATGCAGGCCCCGCTGAACGTTTCTCTAAGTAGGTTGGGGCTTAGCTTCTAAAGGGGTCCTAAAACCATTCAGTTTATGATGTAATCAGGTTAGAATATGCTGATTGATGTACTATTACCAGTCTCTTTTTTATGTAACAGATTATATCATGCTTTGTGTGGTTTTGAATAACATCAACTGAATGTAATAAATCGGTTTAGACAGCACGGAGTAGAGACGTACTGATGGATTTATCCTGCGCTCACAAGCACAAAATTACGGGCTCTTATCAGAGCCTGTTAACTCCCAAGGACTTTGTTCATCAAGTCTCCATTTATTTTGTACGACTTCTGCTTTCTGTTCATATGTGGTTTATTCTGAGGAGTGCAAGATGAAACGCTTCAATATTCAATGCTATTGTTTCCTTTCATGAATTGTAGTTTGCCTGAGGCTCGCCTGTCATGGCAAAAACTAATAATATTATATAAGGTAAATTTCTATCCACAGAAGGGCTTTAACCGACGGCTACTTGAAATTTATATCATTTTTTCACTCTTTGTGATGGGTGTATCAACTTGTCAAGCCACATAGGCTTCTACTGATACACCCTATTTCATTTTCCAACTATTTGTTTTTAAATGTTATTACTTTGTTTCAAATATTTAAGTTGATTTTATATGTACATTGTAAATGTTTATAACCTGTTTTTTTTATTTTTTTTTACTGAATTTGAAATAAAATGTATCAATCAATCAATCAAAAATCACAAGTGAATTAGATTCGTCACTCAAGGATCTGGGAAGAAACATCCACTAATCAGAACACATTAATCTAAACACAATTATCTGGTCTATTGCAAAAACAAAGGACAGTTTAAAAAAATAGACTTAAATCAAACAGTTTGTTTCAATTTGTTTCTTTATAAAGCAAAAAATAAATGACAACTTGTCAATATCGTCTTATTTACATTAACACAACTAAGGTTAACATGAACATTTGGGTATTAAAATAATATAATGCCTTATTGACTTGGTGCTTCCTTCACATATCAAGTAGATTTCTATTCCACATTGTTTGTGTTCTTAACAACAAAATTATGTAAAGATGTATCAAATAAAATATATGTACATGTTAAAAGATAAATGTAGTAATAAAAGAAAACATCTATAAAGGAGAAATCGCCTTTGCATATTTACTTTGTATACCAATAAAACTACCAGAATGATGGTATATGTAGTGAGAATGAGTGAAGAGTTTCTAAGAAGAGAAATACAGGGAAGGTATATAGGTCACAAGTGGGAATCTAGACTCCTTAAGAGTAATGAACTGTGTACCTCTTCTATAAGTGTTTCTACATTACACATGTATCTTTGTAAGAAAAACATATTCTTCAGACAATAAACATGTTTACCTGTATTTGCCAAAAAAAATTAGAAAAGTAAAAGAATAAAGTAAAATGATAAAACTTTGTTTACCATGATTACATGAATTGTCAATGTTTTCCTCCAGAGTATATTATGATTTGCACAATATTCAATACATACATCATATCCAAGCAAGACAATCAAGAATGAAAGAACTAAAAGCAAGGATGATTCCTTATCATATGTCACTTCTGCTACATTAGTAGTTCCTATCAAATTAAATTTGTGAGTTATAGTTATAGTCTTTGACTCCGAGAAACCTTGAATATCACAGGATACACGTCTAATCCCTTACTCTCCAGGGCTTTTTCTATCAATTCTCAGCCATTATAAACAAAGGCCCAAATCTTACTCATTATATACTTCTACAAACATTTTTTGTAAGGTTCTTTTAGGGGTATGTCACATAGAATCAAGATTTCAAATAGTGGCATTCAACTACATGTACATGACTTTATAGAGACATTATATTAGTTTTTCTCTAACATCATAGATGTAATGAGATACTTTATGAAATATCCACAAACAAACTGTTTATCATGAAAACAGCAAAAAAGAGTCTAGTTCTTGTTTTCTTCCGACAACATTGATCCATATGAAACAAATAATTCAATATGTCAGTGTTGTTCAACTCATCAGAAATTATCACAAATTACCTTTTTTGTGCATGTGTGATAAAGAATGAAATATATAACAAATTAAATGCCTCAACATCTTTATCTTTTGAATGCATCAACATAAAATTCTCTTCTCCTCTGATATACAGATGTAACAAGATAATGGAAAAGTATTAAAGTTTTAAGATGCCATTTCCCATTCACATAACACATTTACCAAGAAAAACTTGGACATGAATAACCTCCAGAGAAAGACAGACCAAAGTGATATAAAGTGAAACGAATTACCTTCTTGTGTCACTCATGAGATGCCAACATTATACTTTAACAATACATCAAATATACATGTAGAAGGGTGAAAAACGGTTTATAAAAGATGCTCAGTACCCCCTAGTACAGTAGTATAATATATGTATCATGCATTAGTATACAAATGTGTTTCTTGGACATCACCATCAAAATTAATTCCTACATACATAATTGTATTTTAACCTTTTATCTTCACTTTATATCTGCTCAACAAAAACCATTGGAAGGAAATTGGGGCAACATTGAGAAATGATCCTTAAAAAAAAGCCTCCTCTATCAATGTTTAAAGAATACAAGTCAATTCTATATTTGGCAGCATGCTATCTATCTATAAGATTGCTGTACTAATTTGGGCAGAAGGCTACTCAGCTAGTTAGGTATGTTGCCATGCATGATGGTCAGCATGAAACTCGGATAGGGAGACCTTTGTTTCCTTCGTGTCTGAACATCTGGGGATTTCATGATTTCATAAAACTCTTCAACATGATATAATTTCATCATTCTGGATCCTCAAAGAGTGTCCAAACTACGATGATAATAAATCCCTTTTCGTACTTGATTTCATGCTCGTATGTAACATAACTTAATGGTCATCATACGGTCCTCAGTTAATGAGTACCAACACTCTGTCACAGATAGTTTGATCCACCATGTCCATTGATGGTCTTATGAGTTGATTATCAGACTAAAGGAGGGGGATCCAGGGCTTGTTCTCGTTCTAAGTGAGCAGTGTTCTGAAGATGATAGTAGAGATCTCTAGTTGATTATCAGACTAAAGGAGGGGGGTCCAGGGCTTGTTCTCGGTCTAAGTGAGCAGTGTTCTGAAGATGATAGTATAGATCTCTAGTTGATTATCAGACTAAAGGAGGGGGGTCCAGGGCTTGTTCTCGTTCTAAGTGAGCAGTGTTCTGAAGATGATAGTAGAGATCTCTAGTTGATTATCACACTAAAGGAGGGGGGTCCAGGGCTTGTTCTCGGTCTAAGTGAGCAGTGTTCTGAAGATGATAGTAGAGATCTCTAGTTGATTATCACACTAAAGGAGGGGGGTCCAGGGCTTGTTCTCGGTCTAAGTGAGCAGTGTTCTGAAGATGATAGTAGAGATCTCTAGTTGATTATCACACTAAAGGAGGGGGGTCCAGGGCTTGTTCTCGGTCTAAGTGAGCAGTGTTCTGAAGATGATAGTAGATATCTCTAGTTGATTATCAGACTAAAGGAGGGGGATCCAGGGCTTGTTCTCGGTCTAAGTGAGCAGTGTTCTGAAGATGATAGTAGAGATCTCTAGTTGATTATCACACTAAAGGAGGGGGGTCCAGGGCTTGTTCTCGGTCTAAGTGAGCAGTGTTCTGAAGATGATAGTATAGATCTCTAGTTGATTATCACACTAAAGGAGGGGGGTCCAGGGCTTGTTCTCGGTCTAAGTGAGCAGTGTTCTGAAGATGATAGTATAGATCTCTAGTTGATTATCACACTAAAGGAGGGGGATCTAAGGCTTGTTCTCGGTCTAAGTGAGCAGTGTTCTGAAGATGATAGTAGAGATCTCTAGTTGATTATCAGACTAAAGGAGGGGGATCCAGGGCTTGTTCTCGGTCTAAGTGAGCAGTGTTCTGAAGATGATAGTATAGATCTCTAGTTGATTATCACACTAAAGGAGGGGGGTCCAGGGCTTGTTCTCGTTCTAAGTGTGCAGTGTTCTGAAGATGATAGTATAGATCTCTAGGTGAGAAGCATAGCACCTGACACAAGATACACGTGATTGGTTTCACAAACCGAACCGTAGACCTGTGAGAGAAAAGAGAGAATGGATATTATTTTACTATATTAATATGTACTTCTTTGCTTCTCTGTTGAACGATCTAATTACACAAATGTTTTTCAGTCATAAAAATTATCCAGAATGAATTAAAATGACATATTCTATTTGGTTTTCAGTGCATGAAGTCTCTAATATATGCCTCATATCATCAGTCAAAGCTCAATGTAATATATTTGATAATCTTAGATCTTTTGGAACAAGCAAGTATCCCTCTACAACTACAATTTAAGCCATGAAAGATCCCAGTCTTACTCTCACCATAAAGAAGCTAGAACCTGCATGTATTTACCTGCTAGCTCTCTCATAGAGATCAGCTACATGATCTTTAAGCATTGCCACCTCCTCATCTTCCTCTGGATCTTCAGGACTTTCTAAGAACACACCGTTATGAAACTGATACAGCATTGGGAAGTCTTCTGATGTGTAATCCTCTTTCTTGATGGGCATGACGGATGCCTCCTCAAGCTAAGATAAACAAAGACAACACAGTCATAGTTATCATGGTGTAAATGCCTTTGTCATAGTTATCATGGTATAATGCCTTTGTCATAGTTATCATGGTGTAAATGCCTTGGTCATAGTCATCATGGTGTAAATGCCTTGGTCATAGTTATCATGGTGTAAATGCCTTGGTCATAGTTATCATGGTGTAAATGCCTTGGTCATAGTTATCATGGTGTAAATGCCTTGGTCATAGTTATCATGGTGTAAATGCCTTGGCCATAGTTATCATGGTGTAAATGCCTTGGTTATAGTTATCATGGTGTAAATGCCTTGGTCATAGTTATCATGGTGTAAATGCCTTGGTCATAGTTATCATGGTGTAAATGCCTTGGTCATAGTTATCATGGTGTAAATGCCTTGGTCATAGTTATCATGGTGTAAATGCCTTGGTCATAGTTATCATGGTGTAAATGCCTTGGTCATAGTTATCATGGTGTAAATGTCTTGGTTATTTTTAAAATGTCTACATAAAAGTGTCCATTTTACCCTTACCACAGCATTTAATTTCCTAAACAATCTAAAAAATTAATAAATTAAAAATAAAACTAGGTGGATCTTCGACTATGCGCATTCGAAAATGATGCCTCCGCCATAGAGCGATTTTACAAATTCAAGTTCGATTGTAATCCATTAACAGGTTCTCAGAATATTGTGATTACAAGTTATTTTTCATATACATGAATAACCCTATGATCTTTGACCTTATGACCCTAAAATCTAATCAGTTCATTGGCTCTGCAAGATACATACATGCCTTGAGTATGGCGATAATCCATTAATCGGTTCTATTGACAATGCATGCATTCAACAGCTATTTTTGCATACATAATGAGCCCCATGACCTTTGACCCCAAAATCTATTCAGTTCATTGGCTCTGCAAGATACATAGTTGACCCAAGTTTGGCGGGAATCCTTCAATCCGTTCTTGAGATAACGATCATGAGAACGGGACGTTCAGACATATGAACATACGGACGGACGAACAATCCAAAAACATAATGCCTCCGGCTACTTTGTAGCAGAGGCATAAAAACTGACTGCAAGATAACTACATGCCATTTACTGAGGATGTAAGGCTGTACATCTATACATGTTTGCAATGAATGGTAAACCATACAATGTAATGTCCATTGCGGATAGTTGCCAATGTCGCATATCTTTATGTCCTCATCTCTGAAATGACATACATGTGCAAAGCATGGCTATCAACGATTTACATGATTCCTCTCTGTTTCTTCTGAACACAATTTAAAAATTTGTAAACTTTATATTAATCAAATGTGAATTTCAACACCTCTCTTTATAATATTTGTTTATTCTCCCTCTCTTTGATATACTCACATACATGAGTTTAATTACCTGTCTATATCTTTGAATTCTGCCATCCTAATACCTTAGAATACATTAAAATCGTTTAATGTATGTATAATGCTATATTTACCTGGTCCCATGCATAGCAATGCGTGTAGTGAAGTGGCTCAACACGTGATCTCTTGGCTGTGAACAATCTATAACGGATGAGAATTGGGACAAGGTGAAAGAGATCAAACAAACAAGGATAGGATGTTAAATTAACAGCAATATTACCAGAATATGCACTGGGCTGAAGTAGTTGTTAAATGTTCATGTTTCTTGTGTTTATCCAAATAATGCCAATCATTTATAATAAAAGAAACTCTTGTTTCTTCCATTAAAACAAGATTCTTTGACTAAGTGACACAATAGTTTGCTCCTTATTTTTACACCATTTTTACCACAAGTTACAAAGCTCCAAATAACAATACACTTGAATAGAACAGTACAATCTCAACATTGTTTTATTTTGGGTATTGTTAAGCATGGACGAAAATCTGTGTCAAAAACAAAATATGTAGAGTATCTGAATACATGCAAACTAACAATGTAACATCAATTTTTTGTTCACACAACTATAGGATGGCATAGCAATAAAATTCTATGTCAATATTTAGTTCCTTCCTTCAAGTCTTTAATGACTGATCTTACCCAATGAGTGCATCCCTTGCTTGGCATTGAATCTGATGCGTTGCGTTCGCTCCCCACATAGCGATATAATCCTTGGATGCCAGAGCCAGGTTGATAGCAAACCGCAGTCCATTCATCTAACACACAAACATACAGGATATACTCTAGATACAATCTTACAAACAAGCACAATATCATCAATCAAGTTTATCAATAATGAGTGAGTGAAGGTCTGTGATTGATGATTTTAAGCAGAACTGTACTGGGACTTTTGCAATAAGAATGTTGATTTATCTCTTTTCAATAAATTATTGTAGAAGAACATCCAGGAGAAGTATTCCTATGATATCAACATCAATGAAAAGTATACACAAGAAGGGTGAGAAGAAGATTATTTATACTATGTATAATCCTTAACATCATCAGTTATTTCCTAATGCATCATAAGATTATTTCCCAAGGGCAGACCTTAACATTGTCCATAAACATAATACCAAAACTAGACATATAATACTTGTTTGGAACAAGTATAGGTGGGCTGGTCAACTAAAATTTGAGACAAAATAGAGCAAAAATAAGCGAGATTGCTAAAAAACAATGTCATGTAGATTAATGATGTGAACGAAATTCAACTTCCATAGGCATAACACGCAACTTAAGCAATTTCTGATATGTGCCCATTAATCGTAATTTACACTATGATGAAGTGATCAAAATGAAAAATGGTGACAACTGAGCTTATAGAGAATTGTCTTAGCTACAACATATCGAAATTTGGAAGAAAATCGATCAATATTTACAGAGATACAATCAATTTTACATAAATTTGCTGACTTCATAATATGCAAATTTGTATTTTGAGTTCCAAGGCCATTATGGTGATGTCACGATACACTTAATGGCCAAATGAGACATGGAATCATATCCCCGACTCATACTCTATCTAAATATGAAAAAAATTGAAGGTCACGGTTTATTCCAAAAAGCTATAATGGATTTTGTATAGGCATGTTTTTGACCATATATGCTATGTATTAAAAGAGCTCGCGCGCACAGACATTTATCTTGAATTGACGCTCATCTTGTTATTAATGGTCATAAAGAGATAAACATGGTATCAAATTCCTCGAAAAAATATGAGAAATATCATGAAAGAAAAAAAAATGGCGATTATATGTTTTGTAATGGTGTTACGCGCGAAAACGCGCGCGCATGCTCGTACGCGCGATTTTTTGTAAAATGCTTAAAATGACCTAAAACGTATGCAAAATAAATTTGAGACGATTTTGAGCATTTAAAATTTTTGCGCGCGCACTGACGCGCGGACGTACGCGCACGCGCGCGTTTTTTGACCTGAAATTGACCAGACTGATATTGACCTTGATCATGATAAATATGAATGAGAAATTACTTTTGGTTATGAAGATATGATCATGAGTTGATTTTCAGAAAATTTCACAAAATGGCGCCTAGATGACGTCATCAGTCAAGGTCAAGGTTGAAAACGTTATTGTGATTTCTCTATATGCCTATACATATGTGTGCCAAATTTCAAGTTATTTGATTTAGACAATTTCAAGTTATCTTGCTAACAAAAAAGTGGCGAGAATTAAGAAAAATAAATTAATAATAAATAATAAAGGCAATTTTAACAAAAATATAAGGTGGTCTGTATTAGATACAGCCCACCTGAATAGACAGAACGATATCACAATCTACAAGATAAAAATATAAATGAAACCCTGCAGCCAATGTCCAGGGATTACTGAAAAATAATAAGTTCCTTTGCAATGCTTATCTATGTCATGAAACAGGTCATACACGTACAACAATCAGAAAGAGAAAGGAATGCAAGTACCTTGGAGACATCTTCATTCCTGATCTTGGTATCAAAAGCTAGTTCTATATCATGATCAGCTAACATTGGTGCTTGGGTTACAGGATCCCATCCTAATCCACATAGTAGACCAGTCAGACGTGTCATCTTACGATCAGTTCTTTGAAACAAAAGAATCATTAATAAGATAAGTACCTTAAACAGTGCTATAAGGTGATAAAAGCTGTACCTTACATTACTTTTATGATATCATAATTGGATTCTTGGTTGAAGCAGAATTTAAGTCTGAGTGAAAATCTTAATCACATTAACAGAAAATAATTCAAAACCTGATCCTTTTTACACACCAATTTCACAATAGAGACTCATAATCATGGTTCCCCTTTAATAAAACTACAAAGATATATTTATAAAATCATAAATGTTCACATTTATAAGAATGGGGACAGCCAACAAAGGTCAATATTTCTGTTTCTCACATAAGTTTCACTTAATTACAGATGGAATATATAGCTACAACTTTAATTCTTGGAATACATAAATAAAATCTTTTAGACCAGGGCCCTGTTTCATAAAGCAATTTATTAATAACTACTTGTAACTACCACACATCTAATAATCTGAGCATTTCATTTTATTAATAACAAGTTTTAATAAACAGCCTAAGTGTAATTTACCTGAACTCGACCGTAGGAGCAAAGAGCATGCAGACGAGAGCTGGTAGATCAGATATGTTAGGCATCAAGGTAGTATTCCTGGCTTGTAAGACACTACCTGATGGATTCAGACCTACATGAGCTGACACCATCATCTTCTCATGTTTGTCTTCTGGTTCTGTGCTTAGGGCGACAGAATTCACACTAGCACGGTCCACTCGGCAGGTCCTAATAGAACGAACAAACCACAGAATGCAGGGTCAGATTTTGTTTCGATATTGGGACATGGCATTCCATTCTCTGCAATTCTCTTAAAAGGAAAAAATGGCTAAAACTTTACTTTTTAAGGTGAGAAAAAAGCTCATGCAGCCTTAAGTTTAAACAAAATAATAATGAAATACAATACACTTGATGTATATTGTTTGTTTAATGATGCATTATATTCAGCAGATGTATGAGATTTATTGTATTATTACCAACGCTCCTTCTCTCCCCTTTCCTTTTCTTCTCTGCAAGTCACACTCTTTTTATTTTTATTTTTATTGTTGTATCTAAGTTGAGGGCTACTTTGAGGGCTACTAAGCTACTTTGCTTATTTCTGTAGCCCTCCTGCATCTAATGTATGTTAATTATGCATTCAATATATTTGTTTAATTTTGTTTATTATCTGTATAAAATTATATACACATAAAATATTGTATCAAACCATATTATGTTCATGAAAATGTATGATGAAAAAAATGAAAAAAATGCAGAAACCAATAAATCAAATCAAATCAAATTAGAACTTACTTCAGTCTCCCTATTCTTGTCATGCTAGCAAAGTTGATCTCATATGGGCTGTTTGGTCCATTGAGATATACCTGAAAAGAGAAGAGAATACATACATAACTTATATCTTTCCTCCCTACTTCTTCACACAAGACTCTTGCGTAAAGAGGTAGAAAGGATAGATGTGAGAGTGAGTCATGATTATTCTGCACAGCCCTTTTTGATGCAGTCTGGCACCCACACTGACAAATCTGATAGTCTAAGGTCTTTTACCTACCAAGTATTACTCATTCCAGATTAGAATTCCTTGCCCTGTAATGGTAGTTAAAATCAGTTGTTTGATAGAGCTATCAAGAGGTCAGAATGAGAGCTTTAGAGTCTATTCTTTAAAAAAAGTACACATTATTCTTACAAATCATTATTGACACAATGGTTTGTAGCAGTAGCCCTTACAGGTAAACAAATGCATCTTATTAAAGTTTCCTGTGTTTGAATTGATCATTTCCAAATCAAAATAATTAACCATACAATGATATTGCTACTAATTCCTATGAATTAGTTTTTCAACCACCACTCCTTTTCCCTTCACATCAGTAGCATTCCTTAGTCAAACTGCCTCAGGATTGACCTAAATATTAAGAATGCTTTTTCATGTCACTGAGAAATCTCTATTTCAAGTTGGACTGCGTATCTAGACTTGATATGACTGTACTTTGTACTAGTTGGGCTGGATACCATCTTAGCCTACCTTGCCTCTCCTCTTTCTCCTGCCTTGATCACTCTGTCTAACATTCATCTGTGTCCAGGATTCCTCCTCCAACGATGCAGGTACTTGTTCAGGATGATCAATGTGCATTCTTCTCGTCTCTTCTCTAGCTATCTCTCTCTGAAGATGATTAACCTTAGAGAGATGAGGCTCCTCAGCATGCTCAGCTATCTCCATCTGAATCAACACCTCCTGGATGTGGACCTCTGGCTCCACGTGGGTGTTGTACAGGTCCAGTCTTACAACCCCATCCACAACAGAGAATATCTGGAATGTAGTAATTACATTCAAAAATGTTATTCGACAGCCTTCAGTTGACCAGTTCAAACATGTTACAAGCCAATCAAGACATAGCCCATGTACAATGTATGATCTACAGAGTTCGACTGAGAGAAGTCCATTCACCACTCATTATCATCAAAGTGTTCAATTACAAGACAAGATAATAAATGATTGTGGAAGTGTACTGGTATAGTGGTTCATTTACTCGACTCTCAATCCAAAGGTTGAGGGTCCAAATCCCAGCCAAGCAATAACGTCCTTTGGCAAGACATTGATGTACATTTGCCACTCTCCACCCAGGTGTAAATCAGTACCTGGCAATTGCTAGGAAAATAATAGTTTCAGGATCCTCAGGAAAAACATCAATTACGCTGACGAGGCTTCCCTGGTAACACAATCCTCATCATTATTATCATTCCTGGATGAAATGATCTCTGAGTTGCTATATTACGCAACCATATGTAAACTGAAACCACTTGATGTATCAATACCCAGGAGCCAAAATGAGTGAAACAAGAAGTTTTCTGACAATAATGTCAACTTTGCAGAAGATAAAGAAGCCTTTGCTATCTCACCTTGGATTGGAAAGGTATATTCTGGATGATGTGTTCTTCTAAGACCTTTCTAGCCTTGGGAAGCCATTGGTTATGAGGCAGCTTGTATAGAGGCTTGATGTGAGCTAGAACACACTCAAAGGCCTGAATATACAGAACATAGGATGAAGTTAAGACAAGGAAAACATCAACTCTATGTATGCTCGATACAAGTTAGATTACAAAAGACGTTATTATGCAAATGCAGAAGATTCTTCCTTTATCATTTCTGAAAAATAATTCACATTGCAAACACATTAATACTCTGACAATACAAATTATCGATCCCGACATGGCACTTATGTCCCTTGGCAAGGCATTAATCTTCATTTGCCACACTTGACCCAGGTGAGGTAAATGGGTAACTGGCAGGAATTAATTCCTTGAAATGCTTGAGCGCTGTAATGGCAGCTCGGCTAAAGCCGGAGTAATACTAAATGCACCTCGGAAAAGAATTTCTAGATAGACGGCGCTATAGAAATGCCTTTTATTATTATTATTATTAGGGGCAATGAAAAACTGTAAGCTCAAAATTATTTATATACAAAAACCATTAACGGTATTCACACACTATGAATACTCATCAAATATGAACATTTGAACTATTTTTAGTTCCATCGTACATTGTTCATGAGTTGAACATGATATTGAAATGTTGTTGATGTGAAGTGGTACGTACTTGGAATGGTATGTCTAGGAGTGGCTTGGGCAGGTAGCGCAGATACTTCTCAGGTACAACGTCTCTGTTGCCATAGTCCACAAAGAACACTTCCACTTGGTTTCCCTGTAACGAGACATAACTCATTATAACATGTGAGCATAGAATCAATGTTATATCATCATATTGGTTCTGTGGTAAAGGGATTCAGGCACTTGATTTTCTGAATAGCATGGTTGAAGCTACAAGATGTACAGGGCACTTAATTTCACAATCGTCTCTTCCAACCCAAGCAAAAGATGGCACAATTCATTCCTTGAATGCCCTGTATGCTCTTACTGCTCCCAGAGGTTAACGGCAGGTTAATACCTGTCCAGTGTCCACTCCAATCTTCAGGTCTTCAGGACTTAAATGCAATACAAGTTTGTACTATCCTGATATTTAAAAGGTTGGGGTCATCTATTGTAACACTGACTGCATGACATATGTGAAGAGTCATTAAATAATTTAATTGGAAGAAAACAAATTGTGGTGCAAAAGTATGGCATAATATGACTTGGACATATCTATGATTTACCCATTGGGAGCATTTCTGATAATATTCTAACCGGCAATGGAAAATAAAATTAAACAAAAGATTTTCATGTTTTCAGGAGCCTTTTAGCCAGCCCCCCCCCCCCCCCCCTCCAAGGCCTGTTGTGACTAACCTGTATGCTATCCCTTGTAGCACGTCTCATCTGAAGGATCTTAGCTCTGAAGTATCGTGTTTGATTAGCATCTGTGAATGGAGCAAGCACCAAGTCTCCTTCTCGCACTTCACTCAGATCTAAGGACTAAAAACAACCAAGCCATCTAGTATTTATAACAGAGGACATTAAAAGACCTAGTAATGATACTGCATTTCAAGAGAAAGTATTGCAGTTATGCTAAGAAACTATGTTCTATAAATAAATTTGACTATATGTATTTTACAAAGTTACTGGAACAAGAAAATTTTTAATTTAGAAGATCTACTGATACCATAGACATAGAACACAAATATATAAGTAGTCTCTAAATCCATCAACAGAAAAAAAACCCGACAAAATTTTACAGCTCATTTGACTTCATCAAACCTTAAAGCCTAAAGATGTCTCTTCCAGATGGTGACATTATTCACACAGACTTGTACAAGCTCATAGCTCACTGATAAATGTCTGTAAAGACACACACATTCTCTCACCTCCAACTCCCTGTAGCCAGCATCATTTGCTTTCTCAAGCAGTTTCAACATGATCTGGATCGTTTCCTCATTCATGTAATGAGCCCAGAATCGGTTGCCATCTGCAACCTGTAACAACAAAATAAAAAGGCTTCTTAGTATCTGTTACAAGATTCACTATTGGCTTGTCATGTATTGAAAATTCATTGTAAATCTAACAATTCTAACATTAAAAAAAATTGAACATTGCTGGAGGATAACGGCACAAAATGAGTTTCAGATTTCTGTTTGATGGAGACATTCAAACCATTATATCAGAACATCAATTATGCAATAACATTTACCAACATAATAGATATCAAATCACAGTGATGTTCCAATTCTGTCTCCTATGCAATATCTAAATTGAGGCAGTGAAACCGTTTATGGCAAAGTAAAGGTTCGTTCAGATATGATGCGGTGAACCACCGTTTAAAAAAACACTGGTTTTTCCGCATCATATCTGAAGAAGGCCTGAGGGTTAATGTCAGTAGGACTGAGTGGATCACTTACAGCAGTAGGCATGATAAGAGACCAGTCTGTAGAAGCATCTGGGAGTGGTACTTGCTTTGGTCCTTCAGAGTTGATGCTTACAGCCATCCTACACAAGAACAATGCTTCAATTAATCACTGATACTAGACATTCTAACACATGCTTGTACAGGAGGATGGCCAGAAAAGAATAGTATACTATAAAGCAGGCATTTTGTGGAAAGCAACAGGTTGTTGATATGCATGGTTTAACAGATGTTTTATTCAACTAATGTGTGATAGTGCTACTGGAATGTTTTTTCTTCTAATTTAAACTGATGTGTCATAATATCTCTATTCTAGTGAAAATATTGTCATTTCAGAAACTTTTATATCACTTTAAACAAAATCTGTAACATTCTCATCTGCACAGTTTGCTAGTACTTGTGATTACATTTAACAACAAAATTAAATAAACAATACATGAATTATATCAAATCCAAACTAGCCTGTAGCAAGTTATACCTGTTTGATCTGAGATGTCTTTCTTCCAATGTTGTCTTCACCTCAGTATCCTTGTCCACCTCAAACACATCTAACTGTAATGGCATCTTCAGATGTCTGGAATAAAAAATAAAAGAGTACACCGTGGATGACAGCACTCCTAATTAAATACACATCCTTCGAAAAGGATGTGGAAGGAAAATGTCCAATAAATCTAAAGTGTTTGATATTATACTTCTAGTCATCACATGTTAATCAGAACAATATTGAAATTATTGACAATTACTATCAGTTGGAATTTATATGATTCACTTGGTGTAAAGAAGTTGAATGACCATCAGACCATAAAGAGTGAGAAGGTCATTGGTTTTGTATGTCATTTCAGCTTGAATAATCTTGCCATTACAGCTGCTTTATACTCAGTGACCATGAAACCAGCATGCAAAAGAAAAAGGAAAGATCAATGTATGGAGAAATATGAATGAAAAAGGTAAAGTTCTCACATATATACATTCGCATTGACAAGTGAGGCATATTCAAAAAGAACAATCAAATAGTCATGGAGGTTAAAGTTAAGAAATGATAAAAATTATCAAAAGTAATAGGGAACACAAACTTAAATTGTGAAATACATGGAAATGAAATTATAAAATGTGGTACCATCTCTCAAAATAGTAGAATCTTGGAGATGTGGTTTAATAATAGAGCAGGTGAATTGAGATGAATGCACTACGGTATACCTCATCTTGACAGCATGGTAGACAGCGGGTAGGATAGGGCTGTAGTCACTCTGTCTCTCAAACTGCACAAACAGTCTGCAAGAAAAAATAAAAACATGAAAATACACTTCATCAGGCAAGATTTAATTAGTTTGCTTGTTAAAATACGAAGTTTTCATTCCAAAGATTAAGCAGTTCAACAATTCCAATTAACAGCTTTCAACTGGTAGACAAAATCAATACATTTGTCTTCATCTTTCAACTTTCAACTTTGCACAATAAGGATCACAAAACTGATACTACTTAAAGAAAGAAGAGAGAAAGAGAATGCTCACTTGGTATCTTCAAAGAAGAGTTTCTTGCCCTTGCCACAGCACTGGAAGAGTTTACCAATGGATGATGAATACAGCTCACCATGAGGGGGTATATTCTTCACCTAATCAATAGAGATACAAGTTTCAACAAAATAATATTCTCTACATGAAAACAATGTCATTGTATTGTGTTCAAACAAGAGGCCTGCATTTCAACTTATAATACATGGAGAAAATGCAATCTTGTTTTTCTAATATAAATGAGATATTTATATATCACAGGCACTTGCCCGACAGTATCTTCAAGGAGTCGGCTTCAACTGAAGGAACCCAGGTAAAGAAGGAAGGCACCTTCTAGAACAACCTACATACTCACCATGACTGTGGTACATGGGTCCTTGCCTGAGAGTATCTTCAAGGAGTCAGCTTCATCCGAAGGAACCCAAGTGAAGAAGTTCGGGTAGAATGCTCCTGCTAGCACAACCTGTCATTTAAAGAATATGAAGTGGCTATCAATACATCATTATAAATTACATGACAGTAATCACCATCCTGAATTAAATGAGAAATCAAAGACCTCGTAATTATCAGATACATGGGAATCATTTAATTACCTGTAGTTCTAAACTCACATATTTTATCTTAGCTTATATCTTTCTAAAAGAAGTTGCATACTAGATTTGAGATTATCTGAATGTTCAACCAAACTGACCTTAAGGATGAGTAGATTGTGTGTAGGATCTTGTTTCTGCTGATTACGGGGGTTTCCCTTCTGAAGGCGGATGTTGAAGTTGGATAGGCGATCTTCAAGCTCTGCAACAAGCTTGGACACCTGATCAATGAAAAGGTGAGTTACAACTAAATATCAACAGATAGAATGTTTCAACTCAAGAGCAAAATATAGTAACATTGAATTCCTCATTATACAGGATTTATATAGCTTCCCCAAGAATTATTCAATTTCATATCCTGCTGCAATATGTTTTCTTTTCTGCTGAATCTGAATCCTTGTGTAAAGTTTTAACACAGACATGTAATTATAATCAATCATAAGTACCGGTACACTATTCAATTTGTCTACAATCAAATTAAACATGATCTTCTGATCATGGTATAACAGTTTAATAGATCAATATAACTGTTCCATTTAACAGAATTCCTGTTTCTGTTCCAGTGATGCAATGACTTTCTCTAGTACGTATATCAGATAATTTGTAAAGTAAGACACAAATTCTTTTACTAGTTAGATGATATGCAAGTATTCTCATTCTTACCTCTCTCAAAGGATTGAGTTGTATCATCCTTTCATCTGCCCAATCTCGTTCAGCCTAAATAAACCAATCAACAAAAGAAGATGATTAGATGAGATATGAGGGAACTAAACCAAACCATTTATGATGGCAATTATCTCTCAAGTCTAGTTATTTTATATTTACACAATCAGTAAAGAAACATCTTCAGTGAGTAAGATTAAATTTTTTTTTTTAATTTCTTCAGATTACACTTATTGAAATTTCAAAGAACAATACCCTACAGACATAATACTTATTAACAAGAATGAACTTTCTTTATACTCTTTGATCCCCACCACACTGTTCAGTTGCCAGTATATACCAGTAGCCTAAAAGAATTCTTTCAAGCTTTAGAATGTAAGAGCCATTATAAATAGAAATTGTAAGAATGAAGCAAATCAGTAGGTGCCAGATGCAACAAACTGAAAATATATTGAATGAAACATTATATAATGACAGATGAAATATGAAGGATGAAATATGAAGGATAAAATCCAAAAAGAAGGATCCAATTCAAATCACATATGAAAATTAATATTTTCAGACAAATAAGTTCAAATTTTTATGTAATTGATCTCTTACCCTTCTATGGCGAGCAAAGAATCCGTTATCCCTACATCTCTCCCATTCTCTGTACGCATTCAAAATGGCAACAGGATCGCTGAAGCTTCCTGCATCCCACTTCAACTTGGATCTGAATCAAAGGAAAAATGTGAGATCAATATCTTGATCTTAAGTCTTTAAAAATGTGTTTAGCTATAGTTGTTCTTGCCTTGAAAATGTATACAAGTAATTTTGCATTTAGGTAAAGACCATGTTTTTATTTGTACGATTTAAATTATACTTCAAAAGTGGCAGCCTGAAATATGACATACATCAAATGTTAAATGTCAACTCTATGACTTTTATAAAAAACTCTCCTTTTTATCTCCTGAAGGATTACCACCCTTTATTAAATTACATAAATATTCTGATTACCGATGTGTTTCCCCAGGTCCTTTTCATTAGTCTCTAAATCCAACTCCAAATATAAATCTTATTTTGCGATCCTAATTGGTTGGAAAGCAAATTGCATTTCAATGAAGATCCATAACAGGAATTTCCCCATCAAATTAGTCTAAAAATCTCTATCAATCAGGGGTGATTCATCTTTCATACTCACTTGTAAGCTTCTAAGGCTCTCTTGAATGGCTGTGAGAAGAAGCTTTTGAGAGACAGACCAGCTCCTAAATGGAGAGAAAAAATTGTTACATTTTATACTAATCATAATAATGGTGGCTTCTTATATAGCGCACATGTCCGTCACATCGTGGCACTCCAAGGTTATTACCCCGGTCATGGCTGGCAGCCAATTATGTAGCGCTTTGACCCTTGGATTGGGGTCAAGTGAATGAACCACTATACCATGACACCTCCACAATCAGATTAGACACATTGCATGTCTTTATTACTTTTAGGACAGCTATAGATGAACAGAACTACATTCCGCTCAATTCATTCTTGCAGGGATACAACAGTTCAATACATTATGAATGTACAAGAAAACAATTGCTAATTACAAAATAAAGCTCAAGACAGGCTATCATCATCCCTATCATCATCCCTATCATGCACGTTATCTAATGACCTGTTGAGAGTCAGAATGGGATGTCACTTATGTTAAAACCTTCTGGCTCTCAGTAGCAAGTACTTACCTATGACCAGACATTCTTTGAGACATCCAAAGACATGACCCAGGACCAAGAGTTTGCCGATACGTATGTCAACAGGAAGTGATGCAAGGACACGCCCTACAAAGGTCAGTTCACCATCATGAGGGTTCGCTACACTGGATCGTATTGTGGTGAGACCCCCAACCTGCGAGATACAGGAGATAGAATAGTTACTGACACAGGCAAGCAGAAACCTACAAGTCTAAATAGGTACCATGATAGATTATATAGTAACAAACAGTATCCACAAAATCCACTACGAATTCATGGCAATATAGAAGACAAAAGATCTTATTATGCGTTTTGTGCAGTGTAGGCCGGTAAATACCGCCTAGCAAATTTTGACAAAAACAGGAAATACTATAAAAAACAAGCAGTTGTGTGTTGGTTCAGTGAGCGAAGCCTCATTTAAAGCTCTCATATAAAACTCTTCCACCTCGATCACTTTGCCCCTAAAAATATAATTGTTTACATACCTCAAACCTTACAATATTTCTGTGCAACACATTGCCCTTCAGATGTATTAAAGTTCAAACCATACAAGATTATATTTTGAGTAATAGTGTATGGAAGATGTATAAAAGTTACTTTTGATAAATATAACTCAAACCTTACAATATTATACTTTGAGTAATAGTGTATGGAAGATGTATAAAAGTTACTTTTGATAAATATAACTCAAACCTTACAATATTATATTTTGAGTAATAGTGTATGGAAGATGTATAAAAGTTACTTTTGATAAATATAACTCAAACCTTACAATATGATTATCTGTGTAATGCTTTTCACAAGAGTTTATTATGACTTTAGAATCGTCATGTTAGATGTCAGTTCTCATACAATCTATAAAACAACATATTTGTTTGAAAGATGTGTACACCAAGGCTTTCTGTTATATTTCATGTTGTTTTCACAAATATTATTTTACATGGGTTTGATGTCCACTTTGCTCCTAATATCAGATATTCCATGTATCTATGTACTATCAGTTACCACTTTTGTTGATTTTTCAAAAATTTCCAAGAAGTTGCTAGTGATTGAATTGGATACAAAATGTTAACAAATGTGCTCATGTTTTGTGCCTATTGAATGTGTGTAATGTTTGAATTGAAAATGAAATATTATCACATGAGCTCATGTTTTATGCCAATTAATTGTGTCATGCGGTGTTTCACATGATGTACTTTGATATCAAACAGAACTTTTTAAACCATCATCTACTGGAACAAGGTGGTTCCTGTATTAAGTCTATGGGAATAAGAGAATTCAGTATTTAGTGGGTTAATAAGATAACTTTCAGCAAATGCCCAATGCAATATATTTTCACTAAGGATTGGGTCTAACTATGTAACATGCATATATGTTGATGATATGTATGGTACAAGGCATGATCATGATGGACCTTGCTTAATTTTTCTATTAATCAATCAACCTGAAAAATACCACTGTCAGATACAGTGATTACTATACGCATTTACATCTCAATAATACTTACTCTTCAAAAACACTTTTGTATATAGTAAAAATTAATCCTCTTTACAATATATATTACATACTGCTATAAGAGCAGGAAACATTTCAATGAAACAAAGAAGTGACTGATACTGCAGACTGTATACTTACTTCTTTGAGGAGTAAGATTGTTCTCTCAATGTTGTCCAGGTTTGGTGGTTCCAGGGCCAGGGCTAAGATGGCCTTGGGTTCTCCCAGATCGAGAACTTTCACCTGCAGAATCAGCTGCTCCAATGGACAACGCTATAGTAAATCGTGTACAAGAAACATTCACATGTAAATCAATACAAGCCATATATCTGTATGCTAACAATGATAAAAACATAAATAATTCAAAATCTTTGGTTTATTTCTTATTATTTTCTAGATTGGATTCAAAAGGGTAGTACACAGCAAAAGCTCATCAAAAAAAGGCAAAGAAAAAGCTAATCTGTTAGTCCATCTGGTTCACCAACAATGACTGAATAATAATAATAATACATGAGATTTATATAGCGCCATTATCTATTCTATTAAAATGCTCAAGGCGCTTCAAAATATTAGGGAACACATTACATAATGACAAAAGAATCGTGTACATGAATGGGTTTCCACCTTTCATTTGGTACTTTCACTGTCCTTTTATAGTTATCTACAAGATTTTAAGAAACTCTTCTGATGTATATAATCACTTCTCACCAGAATTTCAGGGATGGCATACTCATCAATGTATTCCTCATAGAAAGCCTTGTGTATCAGCCTGTACACTTGACCTGAAGAAACACGCCCAGCACGTCCTACAATAACAAAGAAATACAACTTCAAGGAATCTTTGTTTGGAGAATAGAGTATTTCTTAAAAAATGGGAGTTTTAATACAATTTATGATTTATTTGAGCACAAGATCTTTCCTCACATGGAGACTAACAACAAACACATTCTTTAAAAATGAAATCCTAATATTTCTTATTCTCTGCATCTCAATATTCTACAACCATTTAGTTCATTATAGATAACTGAAAACAATCTGGATAGACCATGCATGTAAGTATCACTAAATATTCTGTTGACAAAAATACATGATATTCCTTAAAGAAATGAACAGGTTTGTCATCTGTACATGATATTTAATATGATTTCAATGGTAAGGTAATGTACAAATGATTTTAAGATAAAGCAGCATTCTATATAAATTAATTATAACAATAAGAACATCTAAGACGTGATTGACTAATTTAACCTAACAGTTAAGTTGGATGCCGATTGGTTAATATTTTCACACCTTCTATCCAATCATATGCAAGATATAAGGGAGGACTTACCCTTCCTTTGTTGAGCATTAGCCTTAGAAGCCCAGTTGAGTTGTAGACTCTGATAGTTCGTCTCTACATCACACACCATACACTTCAGCAACATGAAATCAATCACTAGCATTCAGAGAAAATATGGAGAAAATGATAACTTTTTATTGAGATTATCTACATTTATTAAAAACACTTTTAAAAGACTAATTGCTGTAGAAAATCTCCTCCTAGTCAGTGTGTGTTAAATGAACAAGTACAGGCCTATCATTTATCAAACCTAACCAGGAATAGTTGTCAACAAACCACATTCTATAGCCTTTTAATAAGCATGACAACTTGCTCAGTAAAAGGTTTTAAAAAGTTCAGGCCAATGAACTTCAGAGTACGAGCAGCTTGTCCAATAATTTTTCAAATTCTACTTCTCTATGATACAAATCCCTGTTTTTTAAAAGTGAATATATAATAAACATAACCTAGAAGGGGATTAATATATCGTGAATACTATTCAACAAGATCGATCTTACTACAGTAGCAGTATATATTTATATATATAACCTTGTAAACTTTTAATTTCCCCCCATATCATATCTCCTTCTCATATCACAACACAGGCCATACTAGCATAGACTGGGAAGGAGGTGATGCAACATACCGTATTTGATATCAGGTACAGTGATGGAGCTCTCTGCGATGTTGGTTGAGAGGATGACCTTCCGGAATCCTTCTTCTGGCCTGATAAAGGCCCTCGCTTGTTCTTGAGTTGTAATGGATGAATGCAGAGGAATCACAATCAGTCTGTAGGGATGTATTGAGACAATCATATTGGGCCTGTAATATTCACACACTCAGAAATTCTACAAATACCCAAAGCTTCCAAATGTGCTACCTTACATATACCATTCTAGATATTAGGGTGCAATCTGGAAGAAAACAGTCTCGGCCTAATTAAAGATAAGCTACTGCAGGAAATCACTAAATAACTACGATAAAATACATGGAATTACGATGTGATTAACATTAAAAAAAAGCTTTCTTTTCAATTTTGTTTTTGATTGGTTTCTCACAATGCACCACAATTAAAAACAATTCCTTGTTACAATACTGAATGCACATCAATTGTCTCATTGAACGGATTCACATTTCGATGGGATTTTTTTGTGTGCATGGTAGGGAAGAATATATCAGAGTCACATAGTATCATTTGACCAATCAGATTGCCTAGTTCTAGAACCTGTTTTCCATAGCATTTGAATAATACACACCTTTCCTTTGATCCTTGTCCAGGGAGCAGCTTCTCAAAGTCTTCAATCTCCCGGATTCCTGAAGAAAACAGATAAGGGATCCCTGAAATGCTCAGATCAAACTTTCTTTTCAAGTGAAAATAGTTTTTAGTTCAGTACTGTGATAACTGGTCTGTTTTCACTCACTAATCATGGGTATGTCAGAGCTGAGCTCAATGATCAGTAATTCAATAAAATATAACTAGAGAGGCCATGTTAGAAACACTTGGCCAATTGTTAAGCCTTAAAAAAAAATTAAAAAATGTTGTATTGCCCTTTGAGACCAACCCCAAAATCTTGAAATCTACAGTCGGCTTTTTAGTTTTACCTTTTTTGGGGACAAATATGTATTAAAGCATTCAAAACTGAGAAATGTCGGCCCAAAGAGGGAGTACATTTTTTTCTTTATAATTCCGACCGACCAACCCATGCTTTGGCACCTAAAGGGCAATAAAACATCTTTTTTTTAGGCCTTATCATCAGTTATCATTTTTACTATTATTACCAAAATAGTTACATTATATAATCGAATTGTATTCTGGCTTAAAAGTAATTAAAAATCTGCCTGCATAAATACATATGAAGACAGAAAAAGGAGACACTATCAGTGCAGAAAATGTTTGATTCTCTAGTGAAAGCAATTATATCTTTGAAGTATATAAAAGTACTCACCAGGAAGAAAGACTAGAACTGTACCTCTCTTCTTGACCATTGTATTAGCAGGTATCCTATCAAATACAAGATTAGCAAAAGGATTAGATACACAGCTTTCTTATATTTAGCGCTTTACCATTAACTGACCAAAATGCTCATAGTATTATAATTATCCTGGGCACTGGTTTCAACTACTTTTCTGCACAGTATGGAGCACATTCTCCACTCCCTGAGGAGCACTCCAGTTAGTCACCTTTTAACGGGCACGCACATGCTAATCCAACAATGATGTTTGCATCCTAAAGGGTACCCAATTAACACCTGTGTAGAAAGGAGCAATGTAGATAAAATGCCTTGCTCAGGGACATTAGTGCCCTGCCAGGGCTCAAACCCATGACCCTTGCATTTCCAGTCAAGGAATCAAACCACTTAACCACACATTTTGTCATCCTTACCCTTGTTCTTGTCTCTCCATGTTGTCAAAGTGACAGACCAAGTTCTTGGCCAAATCATAGGTCTCCTTATAGATGGTTGGATTCATATCTGGTCTATGACGTGGTACCTGTAAAGAGATCAATAGTAATATTATCAGAATGGATTGGTATAGTCGATTGAGTAGTCTGGATCAATTAGCTAACTTTATATACAACTCCTCCCCGGGTACATGAAAGTTCATTCGTGAAACATTCAATACGTATACTGTAGCTCTATACTTATAGACTGTGAGAAAAATACACTGCCGATCATTTTGATAAAGTACTGTGATAGGTCTTTTCCAGTCTAAAGCTAGTGGGGTTATCCAGGCACGCTTGTTTATCATCAAAAGACTATGTGAGATATACAAAACTAATAATTCTTTCTTATAATGTTGTGATACCATCTCACCAATCTGAACCAGGTGAGATTTGCAAAATAAGCCCTCTTTCTAATACAGACTGTGAGATCTAGTGTATTGATAGGTTGTGATGGGTTCTTACCAGTCCAAACCTAGTGAGATTGTCAAGGTAGGCTTCCTCCACATCAAAGACCTTTCCTTCTACACTGACTACAGGAGGCATCTCTAATGATCCTCTTACTGGTAGAGCAAAGTATTCTCCAAACAGAGACACATCGATGGTGGCTGACATCAAAATAACCTGGCAGGGAGAAAAAAAAAGAAAAAAAGAAGGAAGCATCTTTACCCATCCAAATAGCCAATGCATCATCTTTTCAAATATATATAATGAAGAAAAACAGACATTGTAAAAGCATCCATGGCCCTTTTCCCAAACTGTGTTTAAATGTTTTGCCATCAATGTGTGACTTACACATGGACAAACTATTACTGGTCATTTCCCATACAAATATAATTGATTGTATTGTATATTCCATAAATAAAATTGCAGTGATGAAAAGTGCATTACATATGATACTTCCAGACTCAATCACTATGGACCTAACTTCAATTCCATGAAACATAAAATAAAACACCAATGTATACATCTCACACTTGTTTCATAGTACTGGTACATACAACATGAGACTAGGTATGTAACAATCACACTATGCCCGTTTCATAATTGCCAGCATTCTTATTCACTAGAGCCAAAATTACAATCAGATATGCATATTACGACTGCAAGCTACAAACTAATTTTTCATATATACCGGGTAACTCGTTTTCATTCATTTAGTCTGCCTTACTCAATATATATATATATATACATATATTGTACAATTTGCTTAGAGGATGGCACTTTAACTGGTTATTTGCTGAAGTAACACATTATCAAACTGAATTTAAAACAATAACAAGAATATATAAAGTTGGCAAGATTGAACAAGAGGACCAATACCAACCTTGACATGCCTGGAGTTAGTACGTTGTAGTTTCCTGACAACCAGCATAGCAAAGTCTGTATTTAGATCTCGTTCATGAACCTGTAAAGAACAGAAACAAAATAGTCAAATCTTCACAATTATAGCAAGGGACTGGTCATGTGACAATGAGATCTGACACATACAACCCCTGGTTGGAGAAAATGAATTAGTCCTCCACACATCCAAAGTAACTAAACATAAAAATGTTTTATATCCTGAAAAAGAAAGCTCAACAGTTTGTAATAACAGAGAAATCCACCTTATACACACGTCAGAGAGCATTAAATTAACTGCTATAACCGTCAATTTGGGATTGATTTACTACACAAAAGATAACACTATCTTTCAAAACAAAACTGGTCACAAGCAATACTTTCAAGCGATAGCTGAATGAAAATACATCATCTACTAAACATGAATATCTCCTATAACAAAAGTTCCTGGTTCAAATTTCTGACGTGAGCCTCTCTGCTCGATAGATATATGTAAAATGGAGATCTCTGACAAATAAGTATACCGTATTAGTTAGGTAGATCCGTTAAAATCCAACCTTCCTAACAACAATGCCACTCTCCCCCCCCCCCCCCCCAGCAAGAATTTGCTAGCAATAGTTGATAGTATAACTCAAGGAGATTCTTTACCTCATCTAAGATGATATGAGTGTATTCAGTCATATTCCTTTTGTTGATGAGTTTCTGTAGAAGTACACCTGTTGTCATGTATGTCAGCCTAGTGTCTGGAGATGTCGTTTTGTCCATACCAACCTATCAATACACACACACACACACACACACACACAGAAAGAAAGAAAACAAAACATGAAATATTCGAACAAAGATTACGAAGGATGAACACAATAATCCTTACCCTCAAAATGTAATATGTCTTCAAACTTCATATGCAAGATCAATAAAGAGATTACAGGGTTAAAATCTGATCAACTAACTAATACAGGGATGCCAGTTAGAATTGATCAGAGGGCCTGAAAATCATCTAGGATGAGCTATTTTGTTCACAAAAAAGCCTAAACTATGGTCTGAAAATAACTTGCCAGGGTCTGAATTCAGGTTATTGCCTGAAAACTGGCATCCTTGCTAATAAAGTCTCATAGCAGTGTCAATATAATTAGACTTCAAAAGATAATACCACATTTTTCTACTAGAAATTATAGACTGAGCTATCGCTTGTTTTATTCTTATTCTTTTTTCTAAAGAGACGGTCTTTGTTGAGGTGCAGTTGGTAGCATATAACACAGTTAACATCACAAGAGTCATGAGACCTTAATATTTTGCTCTGGAGTATATCCTGTATCTGAAACAAATGCTACATTTTCTGTTCTTCAAAGGCGTACCACTGGTATGCACTTTTCCTTGATAAACCCATTGGACGCCATTATGACCGTACTGGATATAAGCTAATTGTCAGTTTTGATGGGTTAATTAAGACAGTCATATCAGGGTTATACATATCTCATATTATGGATTTATCGTACTTGATGAAAGAAATCAAACAACATAGTTACCCTGTATCCCACAAGACTGCCAAGTTGCCATCTTCTTTCTTCACACACCCTCCTAGCAATACTGATAGCTGCAATCTTTCTAGGCTGTGTCACCACAATGTTACAATGCTTTCTCTTGCACACGTAATCATCCAGTATGTACTGTGGGACTTGTGTTGTTTTACCACAACCAGTAGAACCCTGAATGATGGTCACCTGATTACTTTCTATGGTGTTCAGAACCTGCAAATTCAATGTGAATACGTAGAAAATTTGAAAGAAATTAGACAAAAAGGGGGAATCAACCCTTGTAGGTTTTCAGACAAATCTTCTTGGTTAGTTTAATCCTTCAATATTTCTACCATTCCCTTAACAAATTTTTTTTTATAAAATAAAGTACTCTAAAAAAGTTCAATATCAGCTGATTGAGGGAGAAATCTTTTGTCTACCAATTCTGAGCTAGCCCACATGCTTAAACGGTATATACCATGAACATTCATGAAGTTGCAATTGAATATGACCCACAAAAATGTTTATCTTATGTATTTTAACATTTTAAATTCATTTCGTTTTTCATACGATACATGAATAGTTCAGCCATCATTAATTGCATTTATTTGAAATGAGCTACTTCTGATGGTACTATACATGTAGATTGTGTCAAGTTGGAATCATCTGTACCTGATCTTTATGTTTGGTGATTGGCAGTTCTTCATTGTAGGTATGATCAAAGTTATAGTTATCATAGGCCTGGACAGCTACTTCTGGTGATGTCTCATCCGGCAGGACTGGTCTCGCTGATGTTACACTCATACTCTCCAAATCTGGGAAGTTAATACAAATTTCATATAACTTTAGATAAAAAAAATCACATATACCTTCTCATATTTCATCCAAATTCAAAGTGTACATAATGTTCAAACATATATGTATAAATTGTATGTCCACTGGTTGCTCATTTAAAGGCATACTAGCATTCATAGAACATAAACATTAACACTAAACACATTCTAGATCATTGTTAGCCTGTAAGAAGTCTCCCCCATTAAAAGCAAAAGAAAAATCTTCAAGAAACACTAGATAATTTCAGAATATCCAGTCATTCTTCTTGTAGTCATCATCTAATTATTAGAATCTTTTATTTTGAATCCAAGCAATGATTGCTACCTGACATAGCACTGCTAGGGAGAGGCTTATCCTCATCAATGTGTAGGTTTGATATGATTGTTACCTGACATAGCACTGATAGGGAGAGGCTTATCCTCATCAATGTGTAGGTTTGATATATGATTGTTACCTGACATAGCACTGCTAGGGAGAGGCTTATCCTCATCAATGTGTAGGTTTGATATATGATTGTTACCTGACATAGCACTGATAGGGAGAGGCTTATCCTCATCAATGTGTAGGTTTGATATATGATTGTTACCTGACATAGCACTGCTAGGGAGAGGCTTATCCTCATCAATGTGTAGGTTTGATATGATTGTTACCTGACATAGCACTGCTAGGGAGAGGCTTATCCTCATCAATGCATAGGTTTGATATATGATTGTTACCTGACATAGCACTGCTAGGGAGAGGCTTATCCTCATCAATGTGTAGGTTTGATATATCATCTTCCAGCTGCTGCTCATCCCACTGCTGTCGATAATGATTTGCATAGGCCTTCCCAGATTGCACCGTCTCTGGCTTCGGGCTGGAGAATACACATGTAAGCAAAGAAATATCATTAGCATACCTTCATTTATTGTTAAAAATTAATGCATGCTACATGTAGGCTACATTCAACGTACAACTACTTTTGGAGGAATATTTTTCACTTCTACTCACAAGGGAAAGAGGTATTAAAGGAAATGCAAGGGGAGATGGTAACACATACGAGAACACATCCGACGGTGGTGGGTACCGTAATACATGTTGTATAAATCACCCTCGTGTATTAACCGCACTCCTCTTTTCACCCTCAAATTTTTTTTTTTTAAATGTGATAACGTCATTACGAACTTGTAGCTCGTGCAGTTTTTCCTTCATAATCATTTTGATGAGATTTAGATGACGTCATGGGCATTGAGAGTTAAAATACGGCTTGCAAGATTTCTAACATGGATGTCGATTTAGACCCATAATTTCCTGAAAATGGACCATTAAAACAGATTTATTCAGTCAAGTTGGTAGACGTCTAAGTGGAACCGATGTATAAAAGCCTAGGTCTAGGCCTAATTTTCAAAATAAAATAAAATAAAATATTCATTAGGTAAAATGTAGTTTAGGGGCATAGATTTAAGTTAGGTGTTCAGATCCGTAGTACTGAGTTTGCAGTGCAGTCCCTATGGTTCGCTTCTGTCTCTAAAGAGAGGAGCCGACCGGCGACCCTACCCAAATCAGAGGCTAACGAACGAGAGAAACAGACATTTCGGTCTAAATTTAAGGATGCTTTCGTTTAAATTTCACAGATAGACTAGACTCTAGGACATTTGTGACATTTTCATTATTCTTGCAAAGTTCTAAAGAATTTGATGTTGGCTGCAAAAGGGATACAGGCTCTGGATCACGCACGCACATTTGTTCTCACACATGCACAAGAATGAACGGTGAACACGTTTTTGTTTTACCGAGTTTGTACACCTTGCCTTGCCCGTGTCTTCCGGAGCGACTCCTCGTAACGTTCCGTTCGCAACTTTCCCGTTCCCCCTGTCGCACTGGCGGGAATTACAGCTGGAAAAGAAGGCTTGGCTTTGCCAATTTTGAACCAGTCATCAATATCTTCAAATGATGCTTCTGCAGTTAGAAATCTAGCCATGTCGAAACGATACTTCAAACTATGATACGAACATTTTACTAAAGTTAGTTCACTTTGACTCTGATCATGGTTCAGTTAAATGGCCACTCTTTATATTTAACCTTGGTCTCAGACTATAATAGATAATGTTTAAAACACGAATAGATTTATAAATGCAAATACAATTATATATAGTTATCTATGTAATGAATCATTTAAACATATATTTTTTACTCTTGATCTCATGTAAACAGTGATTAAACACTACTAGTACTTTAATGCCTTTTTATACCTTCTTTTTAAATTATGTAATTTGCCTTTAAGTAGGCTAACCCAGAAAATCCAGACAAGAAAAACATTGGCAATACAGGAGCTCGCCCTGCCGAGCATGTGCGATCTTGTGAAATATTAGACCCTTGATTGAGCTAATCTTGCACCTAGTAGCTGGTTACGTTTTTATCTTTTTCCTATATCCAGTTACATCAAGATGGTGTTAAACTGAAACGATCATTCATATTCCATTGAAACCTGATGAAGAAAACAAAATTGCCATTGTCATTTTCTCTCAAGTGCTGGGAAAATTCCTGCCTCTTTTTTTGGGGGGGGGGGGGGGGAGGGGTGGGCGGCCGGTTCGACAAAAATTACCGTCTTGTATGGTGACTTAATTATTGAGGCCCAAAATAATGACATTTATCACAGACAACGCCATGTAGAAGCATATAGAAGCGGCATGTGAAGCCAGAAATAGTGCCAGTGGAACACTAGCCGTCGAACAATAGCCGTCGAGATCGACTGTGAACTCAGTATTTGTGTCTAGGAAATTCTGACTTTTTGACTAGGCCATAGCTAGGATACCAAAGTAATATCAGGTACCCAATTACCCATTATGATCGCAAAAACGCTTTGGCTTTGCGTTAAAAAAAAGAAGGATGGGGTTTATTTGGGCATGGTTTTGACGGCAGTATACGTAGTAAATGAAATATAGATGAAGGAAGGTTATATTAATTTATGAACATGCACTGTGGTCATGTCAAGAATTTGACAATGGCATTCTCTTTGCAAAATTAAGAGCAAATATATAGGCTAGCTTTGTCCCATAGTTTTGTTAGGAAATGAAACTTTCATTTGAGGGCATTTGAAACCTCTAGCATTGGCGGAGATCTGTTGTTAGCCTAGGGGGGGGGGGGTGATTTACTGACGCGCAGACGGGGCCGGGCCCTACCCGTGGGGGGGGGGAGGGGGCCCCTGCTTTTTCAAGTACCCCAAAAGTGCCCCTATTACTTTGTAAAAAGAGCCCCTTCCCCCTTTTCACCCCTGGTAAGTGCCCATTTTTCTTCGACAAGTTCCTATTTTCCTTTGCAATAATGCCCATTTTAACCAATGAAAAGGGTCTCTTAAGTGCATGCCCCTTTTCACCTCTGGTAAATGACCCTGTGCATGCATGCAGGTAAACCTTTTCACTTTGACAGATAAGTGGGCTCTTCACCTCCTGTCCGACAAGTCCCCCCTATTCAAATCTGAGAGATGCTCGTTTTACCTAGACAAGTTGCCCATATGCAGCCCGTCCTAGCTGATCAGTGCTCTTTTCATCTCTGATGAGTGCCCCTTTTCACTTCTGATTACATGCTCCTCATATTTAGATGCATGGCCCCCTTTCCTTTCTAATAAATGGTCTTTTTCTCTTCTTATAAGTGTCCCTTCACCTTCTCATAATTACCCCTTTTCATCTCTGATAAGTGTCCCGTTTATTTTAACATGTGACTGTCTCTTTTCTTTTTGATAAGAGCCACTTCCCCTTCTCATAACAGCACCCTTTCACCTTTGATTAATGCAAGCCCCCATTAAAATCTGATCGATGCCCCTTGTCTTCCAACAAATGCACATTTTCCTTTATTATAAATGCCCTTTTTCATTCTTAGTGCCTCTTTTGATTACTGGTCGGTGCCCCTTTTCAGGTGTGATAAGTGCTCCTTTTCTGATAATTTCCTTTTTAACAATGCTACATGCCCCTTTTCCTTTCTTTTAAGGATCTATCCCATGCAACTGGATTCATGCGTTTTGGTTAATACTTTTAGGCAAAATTTAAATGAAAGCCTTTACGGTGAGCATTTTATCGTATATGCTTAACATTGGGGGCGATGATTACATAGGCCATCCACCCTTGGTCAAATTTTGGTACACAATGTACATGTAATCACTAAACAGCTATAGATAAAATTGTCATTCTTATTTTTCTGATTCTCCTCTTCTCTCTCTCTCTCTATTCCTCTTTATTTCCCTGTTTCCCTCACTCTGTATCCTTCTCCCCTCTCTCTCTCTCCACCCCCTCTGTATTCTATATCCTGCCTCTATATTCATGTTTATCTTTCTTTCTCTCTCTCTCTCTCTCTTCCATTCCTCTACCCTCCCTCAGTATTCACCCCCTCTCCCCTCCTTCAATATTTCCCTCTCTCTCTCTCTCTCTCTCTCTCTCTCTCTCTCTCTTTACATACAAAAAACACAAAGTATAACATTAATTTCATACTCACATGTTTATTTCAACCATCTCATGTGCATGTATACAAACTCATTATTTACAAGGATATACTTTAAGCAAAAACAAGAAGGATAGACAACAAAAAATTAAAAGTAATAACACTTTTTTATGAATCATGCAACAGAAAAAAGCTGAAGTAAAAATACCTGAACTATAGAACCAATTCCAAGCACTGTACAATAATTACACAATAGGGGAGGGGAGAATGTTCATGCAGCACGCTTTGTACATAATCAAAATATATTGAACAAAGAGATTATAGAATCTACAAGCATTTGAATCAAAATCTAAAAATGAATAGCAATCAGAAATCTGCCTTCACTTTGCAATACATGAGGTGGGACTGCTCATATATTTAACTAACAATAACCTTACTTAAATGTCAGTACCTGTGGAATAAAAATGTGAAATATATTCATATCTAACTCTGACTGTATGAACACATTATTTATGAAGTAACCATTTGATTTTATTCAACTTACATTATTGTACATTGGACATTAAAATGTAAAATGTAAAACTGTGATAGCATTCCTCTGCAGTAATGATAATTTACATAACTACGATGAGTGATAATGACCATAATATATATTTTTTTAATTGACATAATATTCAGTCCAATCAGAAAGAATGATTTGAAATGAGCAAATGAAAATATAACATTTATACAAAGATCAATCAAATTCTATTTTGTGCAATCCTTACAAATATTTTTTTTTTCATTTTCATTCTTATTCTAATTAAAGTTGAGGTAACGTTCACCGTACATTTTAGTCTAATGTTAAAAAAGAAACATGAACATGAATTTCTACAAAAGAAAAAAATAGTACTTTTGCCCGCAAAGCACAAAGATTCAAACAATTTTAATCTTATAAACTCACACAAATCTCACCACATGACAGAAAGCAAGATAACTTACTTTATGAATTCAACATTTTCATGTGATTTTTGTTAATGTCATCCATATTTTACATATACACGTATATATAACATCACCTTTTGCCCTTGTTTATATGTATATTAACATGGGGTATAGTTTTTTTACAAGTATAAACATAAAAACATTGAAATACAGAATATTATGTCTCTACATCTGAATTGAACACAAATACACTACACAAAATATTCATATGTTTTGCTACATGATGATCCAGTGCAGAAAATGGTATATTACGATAGGAAGGTTATTTTGTATGTTTTTTTCTTTTTTTTCTACAGTACATAAGGTGATACAGGTTCTGCGAGAAATTCATGTACCACATTAAATTTCCCACATGTCAATAAGAAATCCACATTATAACTTGAATTTAGCAAATGACATGATAAGAATTTGACATGTAAAGCAAATGAAATCCATGCTATCGATGCACTCAATGTAAAACAGACAACGGAACTTGGTACATAACTTCTACTGAGAATGGGATATAACCACCATCAACATAATGTGTGTCAGAGAAATAATGAGATCATATTCAAATATGTGCAAATCACAAAATAGAATTTAGTACAAGTGCATTGGGAATGAAAAAAAAAAGAACACAAACATATTCACATAAATTTAATCTTTAATTTCTACTCCCTCTAATATCAATAAATAAATACATAAATGAAGGAGGATGGGGGGGGGGGGTGAAAAACAAAGGGGTCAGAGTTCATAGATTGAGCCTGTAATTTGAAACTTTGAACAAATTGTCACAGTCTTGTTCATTCAGGAGTCTGGAAATGTTAAGCTATGCCAGGACAACATTCATTATCATGATAGTTGAGTACTAGGTAACAATTTACAATTGTCGTATCTAATTTAACCTTTAGAAAAAATCAGCTTAATGGAGGTCGGACAAGAACCACCAATCTCAAAGAAGTTCTGGAAGGATGTTTATTTCAGAAATCAATCACAACTGTATTGTGCTCATCAGATTGTCATCTTGATGATACATTGTGTTCTACCTTGCGATGTGTCATCAGCAAAAATCCTTGGAATTAAAATTACATTTACTGGTACTCAAACCAGAATAGATTTTCAGCAATGGAATAATTCTGATCTTCTTCCTAATTTGCCAATCTTAAAATCACTTCATACCAGTATATATTTCATGTTAGTATATATATCCCTAGTACTTAACAAATACTATGAATTGAAAGCAACCATCTTTGATAGAACTTATTTAAAAGAAAACTTATCAAGAAAAGAAAAGACAAATATTGAGGGGATTGATTAACATCATCTTAATTTCACAAAACCTATCTCGGTTGATATCTTTATCATACCAAAACAAATTCACTTCAAATGTAGAGATGTTTATTCATTCAATAAAACAAATTCATCTACTTCATGATCTACTCCTAAAAATATATATAGTTATATTTTCAATTATTTGTCTGCCTAGTTTACATAGAAACACTGAATACAATCACAATACATGTATAACAATGTTAAATTGTCACTAAATTGTTAATGTCATCACTCTCAATGTCCCAGTTCATATAAGTAAGAGTGAACTTCTACTTGGTGAATCCTAAAGACCTTGAAATTATAAAAAAAAGTCAATTAATCTGACAATTTTTGAAAGCAGATCAACTAACTTTCCAGTCTTTTAAAATTATCACCATGCATGATTACATTGGAGCTAAAGCCTATGGTAGATGTGATAACAATAAGAGCAGTAAGTGCAGTATATTGACTGTGATCGACAGACAAATCTGTACAAATCCTTCACACAATTTAAAATAACATTTATATTTACATGATTTAGAACACGTCACATTATTTCACATGATTTCAAATAATACATAAAATATAGACGTTGTATGGTAAAAGTGTTTGAAAAGTGCAGTAAGAGGGCCCAAAATATGTCCATATTATTTTTCATTCACAATTAAAGATCACACACCTTGATAAAAACAATGAAACCAGTTGATATCTACATGGATCACATGACTACATGATTCTAAAATGTACATGAAAATAGGTAACTATCTGATACTACATTCAGCTGTACAGAGAAAGAGATTGAGAAATGACTCGGTCAGAACTATGTTACATATACAATGTATGAATAAGCACACTTGATATATAACATAATTGTACAACATGAAAAGAGAACTGGACTAGATCATTCACACTTCCTTTCCAAATAACGGAATTCATTCCATGTCCTATACAAAGGCAAATTCTCTCATGCAAGCAAGGTAAAGTAGTAGCTGTGAGACCGCAATCAGATGTTCTATACCGGTAAGCCTAAAGATGTATTACCTTAACCATTCAATACTAAGTGACTCAGCATTGTACCTTGTTTAGCATGAACAGACTAATACTATACATTTCGTATGTAGATGTGTATGTTAAATCTCTATCGCTCAGGGCTCAAGCTATGTATGTCTTAATTCACTACATAGATAATACTTCAAGAAACTCATTCTATAAACATCAATCCATTTTATGCATGTTCTTCTTATAATGCACATCTCTATGGTTCTTTGTTACAAATGAAACTTGGTAATCAAAGGGTTCATACATAAAGTTTGTTGTGTTGAAGAATTACACATTCATTTGTTCTGTTATCTCCACTGTATCACTAACCCTCACAGCCGTAAGTATGGGTTTCATAGTATACTAAATTCAATTAAGCTCGACATTACCTTCATCATACCGGTATACACAACATAGACGTTCCATTACAAACATACATAAAGCAAAAATAGAAGTTTGTTTGTGTCAAAGCTGCCTAACAGTCGCCTTTCAAAGATAAACTTACATCTTGCCAATCTCAGCTGCAAAAGTTCTAATTTGCATTAACTCTTCCATGAACAGTGACATGTTCTCAGAACTACAATACATTTGTTGTGCATATTTGTGAAAAGATGGGTCCCTTGACTGAACCTTAAATGAGTGAAAAATAGTGTCAACCACATATACCTCTGGAAATATCAAATTAGATAATACTTGTACAAGAAGACCAAATCAATGTAAGATGAATGTAACACACACTTTTTTTTAAATAAGTCAGTGAACATTAAATTATGTTTCTTAGTCACCGTAGATCTACTCTGTGATTTCTAAATAAAGAATTGTTTCTTTATAGAGAAGCAGAAGACGATTCATAAAGCTTACTTTAAGCACTCAATGATGCATATAACACATGAAGAAAAGTGCTATTGACAATTGCGCATACAAAGACAATGTTCATTACAAATTAATAAGCTACAGCTGTTGAGCGCCTTTTCATTGAATTTGTTTTAACGTTGTGTTGCTTGCTACCACTGATTTTATTACAACTTAAAAATAATTTGAGAAAATCAGAATAAAATAGTTTATTCACACTCTTTCTAACAACCAGAACTTAAAATATATTCAAGAAAGCTTTTTTTTTTTGTTACTGGTTGTCTCTTAATATATTTATCATGTACAACAAACATGTTGATGAAATTTAATATCTAGCTAACTAACTCTACTACTGTTTTCTGGATTAATACATTGTAAGCTGGGCCAGTCTTCAGTGCATCAACTGCTAACAATTTATACATCCATGAAAGAGATTTATGTTTCATTTTCAGATTTCCAAAATATATCTTGCTGCTAAAACAATTGGAAAAAATTGCCTGACATTGAACCAAGTATAAGTAAGCAGTATTTGAAATGGTTTGAAGTCAATGGAACTACAAAGTATAGCCAATCATTGTCATATAACCAATCTCAGCAGCATACAATCTATCATGTCCAAAGTATTATATTCTTATTTTTGTTTCAATATAACTAACCAGATCTGTTTGAATTGAAATTCCAGCTGATTGTGAATATTTATTTGCTCTTTATCTTCATTATAACCATATTTTAAAGGTTACTTCTTGTATATATTTGCACAAGGCACTTTACAAATAAATTGCAGCATTAAACTCAATATCAAGAAGCACTACATTGCCCAAGGGCTATAATATGTTTATTTTCGGTGATACCTCACAGAATATACATCTATAGAGTTAGAGAACATCAACAAGATTTCTCTCATTTAGGATTTAATTAACCATGTGGACCAATTGTTTTGAGAAATTGATATCAATGATTCCTTGTAGATATTAATCAGTTGAAACAAAGGAAAAGTCTTCTGGATTGGTAATTAGTGTATCAACACCACAAAAGGGATCCTCCATTATCTCTGATCATTAGCACTAACATAATGCTATTTGCATTAGAAACATTTTTTGTTGTTGACAACATCTAAAATCCCTGAAAGAAGCTTTTGATAACTTCTTACTTTTTACTACGTTCAGTCTACAGAATCCTTAACTAGGCTTTATATTTTTAATAGGTGAATTAATGACATATCATTTTTCATTCACAATTTCCTAAACGTAATACAGAGCTATATGAATTGCATTTCATTTTATGGAATACTACATGACAAGAAATTCACTCTCATTAAGATTTATTATTAATATTTCATACCTAGTGTTTTATTCTAGATATCGCAAGCTTGCAGATTATCTTCAACTTTAGCACTATAGGAGCAAGTTATTTATTATATAAGAACAATTCAATAGGGTGGATTCACAACCCACAAGGCAATCAAGCGACACCAGTGTTTAGTCAATTTCAGTTCATGCATTGTGGAGAAAAGGTAACAAAAATACCAGCTGTGACATTGTTATATACCTTAGGAGATAAAGAGATTTAATCTTTTGGTGGGGAAGGTTTGAATAGCATATCCGGGTAAAATTTTGCACTGATTCCAAAAATATCAATCTTATTGACCCTTCACACAACGATTTGGTCATTATGGCCACTTTTGGGGGAAATAACAATCATAGACGCTTTCGGACAGGGGTAACTTTTCCTATCGTTATTATCAGCAAAGGGGATTGGATGGGCCTAATCTATGTAAAAATGTGTCCAACAACAATATGGTCATTGTCTTCGCTTTTTGGCTAAAAAATTACCATTTCTATTGATTTATATCTAAAATATGAATTGATGGGTGGGTTTTGAAATCCAAAGTCAATACAAAAATGTTCGCTGATATCAGAACAATTAATCTCATTCAAATTATTACAAGGTTCAGACCACTTTGGTCATTGGAATCGTTGACTAGCCTTTTGCTGCGCTGCACTGGTGGAAAGATGTTGACCGCGAGTTGAAAATTGGCCTGTCGCTGCTTGCCAGTGGGAGCCCTGTTCATTGTGAATCCATCCAATTATATAACAAATACAATTAGGATAATCTGGAATTGAAGAGGACTTTTCAAATAGAAATAATACAAGATTATGATTTACAAATCATTTGTTAAACAACTGCAAAAAAACTACAATATGAGCATTTGAAATCAACAGAGCTTAAGATTTAAAACAAAAACAAAAATTCCCAAGGAGTTGTAGAGAAAATAGTAAATGGTGATGTGGGTTCCACAGGTCAGGATGAATATCCTTAGAACTGTAGTTGCTGACCCAGCACACATGGTTCTTGAAAGCTGTTCATATCAGGAGTAGGGACTGTCTGTCTATTGACATAACCCCGAGCCTGCCAATCTGAAGGGACTAATGTTGAAGTGGTGTGTGAGACAGGGGTGGACTGCTGACTGAAGCCTGACGTGTTGTTGGGGTGCTGCTGGAAGGGAGGTGGTGGAAGCGACTGTTGGATGGGTTGTTGTTGTTGTTGTTGTTGTTGGTGATGCTGAGAGGTAGATTGTGCCATGAGACAAGCTGCTAATAAGCTAGAGTTCTGGCTGGATTGGAGAGGGAAATTGTTAGTATGTGTTGCTGAGAGTCCCATAGGAGGGCTTCCCTGCTGGTATGGAGCGGGTTGCCTTGAGAATCCATTCTGCTGTTGTGGAGGGAGGTGGTAGTTTGGCAGGGAATTGTACATACCATTAGATTGGAACATTGCTTGTTGCTGCTGCTGCTGTTGCTGCTGTGGTTGTGTTTGTTGTGGAGGGGTGTTAATAACAGTATTCAAGTGCTGCTGAAAGTCAAAATCACTGATTCCTGTGATGTCAAGTCCGTTTTCATTTGGCCCATGGGTACATCCATTCTGCTCAGTGAGTCCATTCTGCTGAGACAGACCGTTCTGCTGAGACAGACCATTCTGCTGTGGCACATTATTTTGCTGCGGTACTCCATTCTGCTGTTGCAAACTATTTTGCTGCAGATTGTTTTGCGGTGTTCCATTCTGGGTCATACCATTATGTGGCATGATGCTTTGAGGCAATCCATTCGGTACACTCCCATTCACAACTTTGAGCTGCACCTGTTTGTTCATTTGCTGTTGCAAAGCTTGACGCTGGATATTCTGCCGCCTGTGCTCATCCTCCAAAATCTGTGCCTGACGCCGGTGATTCTCCATTAACATTTCCTGTTGTCGCATGAAATTCCTCTCCAAGATCTCCTTTTGTTGCTGCTGTTGCTGTAAGAGTGTGAGATCTTCATGATTAATCCTGTTGTTATTGATAGGGAAGTCTCGTTCTGGACCAAGATGATCCTGCATGAGAGAGTCTAATGTATCAATGGCAGCTTTAGTGGACGGTGTGATTGGTCCTAACACATCACTCACATTGTCTATACCATCACTCATAGGAAGCTGGAGTTGTTGAGGAATTGAGCGGACTTGAGTGGACAGGGGATTCTTTTCAGCTCCTGTGAGCAGTGCTTTCAACATTGAATGCATTGTCCTTTGATTCTGAAGGTCTTGAATTTCCAGCTTGGACATACCTTCAGTCACCCCATGTGAGTCACAGGGATTGATAGGTGCCTGAGTACCATTGCTGACGGGTGGGATGGACTGTCCACTGCATGTAGGGGCCACAAAGCTATTGGCCACAGTAGTTGCATCTGAATACTGAGAAGAGCTGGTGGGTTGGGCCACTGAGACAGAAGGTTGTGCAGTAGCAGAGTTCATGGCATCAGTAACTTGTGGTTCTACAATATCTGACACTGTGGCTCCTTCAGGGAGTGAAACTTTGTTTACATCAGCAAGGAAAACATCTCCTTGTGAAATTGTGATGGGTGCCTGCGGACAAGACCCATACTCCAAGGAAAAGTCAGCCAGATCAGGTGGCAATCCACTTCCATTTCTGCAAGGGTCTGTGATTTTTCCAGAAGACAGTAATAATTGCTTAATAGTCTGATGTGCATTACCATGCTTCTGGATTTTCTCTGTGATTGGTGGTTCATTGAGTAAGTTCAGTAAAATGTTATTGGCAGGACTCTTAAACTTATCATTGAAAACATCATCATCTTCCACTAGCCATGACATGTTAGGACTTTGGACCCCTACATCTGCACAAAGACTTGTTGTACCAGGACTACCCAGGATCTGACTCAGATTATCTGGACTCGGTACAGTGAATGACAATGTGGATATCCTTGAGAAATCCCCCATGGGAGACAAGGGTTTGTCAGATGTAATGTCTAGTAAGTTGAGCAACTCTCGCTCCTCAGCTTCACCAAAGCTGCTGGCTCGCTGACGCTCTGGTGACGGCGGTGAACAAATCGAATCTGAGCCACCACTGGACAGTGAATCCACATCACTTGCTGGTGAATCAGATTTAATTATTAGCACATTCTCCTCTGCATAGGAATGCTTCTCTTCCATGGTTTCAAGCGAGGTGTTATTATCCATCTGACAGTTTGCTTTGTCAATATCCACTTTGTCATCACACTGCATGGCACTTTCCTTCTCGTCAATATCAATTTTCACACAAACATCCATTGGCACATCTTCCTTTGCTTCTTTAGATTCTTTCACCAAATCTTTGAAGGACACCGAGCTTGATTCATCCACTGGTTTCAGAATCACCTGGTTTTCCCTCACTGGCTGGGGCACCAGCTCTGCCAATTCTTCCTCCTTCAGCTCCAAAATCTTTGGAGATGACTCTTCAAAATCTGAGCAGGACCCCATGTCAGAGATGGTTGGGGTTCCTGGAGTCCCAGGGGTTCCAGGGGTCCCAGGAGTGCCTGGTGTACATGGTGAACCACAGCTATCTGAATCACTCATCAAGACTCCCTGCAGTGAATGCTGCATCTGCTCCATCAGCAGGTGACGCTCTCCTTCATCTTTCCTGTAACACACAACAAGAAAACAAAAATAAGCAATCCATGGATGACAAAATAAATTTTACTATAACTTCTCCAGAATTATGGTATAAATGTTCTTACCATTGGTCTGAATAGAGATTGGATAGTGGGTTGGTAGCAAATCATTTAATTCTTTATGATGCTAAACTAATTGGCTTGATTCACAAGCATTCCAGTCTTTCTAACAAATATAAATATGTCCACGAACATTTTAACCCATAGCCACATATATGGTACATGTAATTTTTACTTTTCCTACCTAATCAGTCAAATAATCCATTAATTTAGGAAATGGAGAAAACAAACTATTCTCACAAAATCACAACTGAGACCATTTGTCTTCTTTTCTTACAATATTTTGTCATCTCATGAAGATATGAATATATAATCATTTAGTTGTAGTTAATCATTTAGCATTTTAAAAAGATTAATACCCATGAGGTTAAAATAATAATGAATCCAATATCATTCATAATAACTCACCCAATGACATAGTTCATGCAGACCACATACTGTGCCACATTGTTTGTATTGTAGATAATAGTTGCTTTGGTCTGCATCCAAACCCACGCTCCTAGCTTTCCTAAGAAGCGATAGTACTTGCTCATGCTACTTCCCTTTACAATCACTGTATCATGAACAACAGACAAAGAAAGATGGACAGAAACATTAAGACAAAGAAAGATATGAAAAAGGTGTACAGAGAAAGATATAGGAGAGTAAGAAATGAAAAACACCAAATAATGCAGGATGGGTAAAGAAAATGAGTGGGAGAGAAAAAAGGAAAATAGATTCATCAATCAATGCACCTGAAAACATCATAAGACATTTTAGTAATTCATATTATTATTACATGGTATTACAGGTAAAATCAGAGGAAAGCATTATTTGAAATAAACATATGCTACTGTATTTTGAATCCTGAAAATATGAAAATAATATCTATTATCTCAGCACAAAAGTTTGTAGTAAGAAATGGTTTCAAAACTAATATACATGTAAATGTACATAGAATAAAACTGTGCACAGTTTATTTGAATGACCTTGATTCCAATTTACATAACCTAAATGTATGGCCTATCAAAAGTCATTAGATCCTTAGATTAATGCTAAATTTGTGTGAATTCTCTTTTGAAAGTTTAACATCATTGCACTATCACACGATGCAGCATCAATTGAATATAGGGCACAAAACTACATCCATGTTAAGAGAGGGTCTTCTGACCAATGAGAAAACAAAGATTGGTAAACTTACGCTTGGAGTGACAATCACTGACTTTGCGAGCATCCAGTGGATTATGGAATTGGTAAGCAGTCTTTCCTATCACTTCATGAGGTTCATAGCCTACCAGTGTTATGATCCTATATCAATCATAAAAGGTTCATAGGTGTTATCAATGATCATCAAAGGAATAATATAACTTATATTTGGCTGTTACAGAGACATTATTCGAACAACACATGTTGTATAAATGTACAGGGTAAAAAATAAACAACTGCATATACTAGTATGTTAATGTGTACATTTTACAGAATATTCTGTAGTATTGTGGATAAGATGTAATTGAGGTACATCACATGCCTTCCATAGACTCCAACTCAAGTTATCCTAAGCCACATATTTGGTGGGTTAAAGACATTTATAACATTTAACTCATAGGTGTTTGTGTGAAAGTTGTCAAAGACTAGAGCAAATAGTTATGCATGTATAAACTAAATTAGTTACAAAATGCAGTTCTCCTCTAGTGATCTTGTTGAAGGCAAATGCATTGTAATAAGTATGTGTTATTAGAGTCAGAATTAATAAGACTTACATTTGAAAGGCTGCATTATTTTTTTTTAAATAAAATAAATAGTATTTTAGGCAATCAGCAACAATACTAGTAATTGACACATATTTGACCACACCACCCATATTATCTGCTATACTTCATTTTCAGAGACCAATAGGCCTGTGCTCTCTATGTATGCTGTATCTCTGCAGAATAACCGATTTATTGTTTACACATCTTGGTTGGTTCGTTCGTTCGTGTCTCCTTAGATCAAGATTAATGTATCTTGATCTTCAAAGTACTTGCTACAATCGGCCGTGTCAGACACGTTGCCCCGGGGTGCGAGATAGGTTAATCAGTGTACATACAACCCTATGCTATTAACTTACCTTGGGTCACAGAACGTAAAGCTCATATCTAGACCATGTCTGCTCATAAACATGTTACCATCCATACGTATCTCCAGTATTGGCTGAGGTTGGATAGGACGACAGAGACAGATCAAACCCTCTACACTGTATCCCTTACTGTTACTCGATCCTTTCAACTTCAGACGTCCAGAGAAGTTCACGACCTAGGAAAGCAAGCAGTTAATTGAAATTTGAAAAAGTCTTTCATAGACATCCATGTTTTTCATTTAAAACGGATGTTGTGTTGAATTAATCCTGTGATGAACACTGCATAATAACATGTAAAAATAAAGGACCTGGAAAGTTGAATAAAACTACACCCAAATCGAGGCAAATCAATAGGAATCAGTTTGCTTACACCTACATGTATTGAGTCATTGCTAGAAAGAAGAATTTTTTTTTTACAAATATAAGTTCTTACATGACAGTATCATTTGTTTTCATTGTACTACTTTCATTTCACATACCAATTACTAGAAATATATATATATTATTTACTTATAATGAGCATAACATTCATTACCGCAAGGTTTTTATATTGTTATTCTCTATGGACTCAACAATCAAAACATAATGTTTGTAGTAATACAAGCGTCATTCTAATAATATTATTAACAAAGAAGTGCAAGACATCTTGAAATAAACATGTGCTAATCTAATGTCCACATAAATAAAAGCCAGATGTGCTTTCACTTATCATTTCCACTTTGATACACTAGTCTATATCTTCCTTTGCTCAATTCTCCTTTCATTTTGTGTCTGTTTTGTCAAACAAGAGACTGATTCTATTTCCTCCATTGCAAGAGAGGAGGAAACTATCTGTTTCCTGACTCAACTATAGAAAGACAATATACACGCTCATTTCACATCACTTTACCTGTAGATCCCCCTTTACATTACACTCTAAAAGTGCAAAGAAATGTTTTCATGACTTCTCAAAGGGAAAAACATAGTACAAATATAGAGGGGAAAAAAGTTAAGTACCCTAAAAACTATTTTGGCACAGATAATTCAACATAAAGGGTTGTTTACAGTGTACTTCATATATGGGCCACTCACTGTTGATACAAAACAATGACATCATTACAATAATAATATTAATACTACGATAGTGTGTTCATTGCTGACACTAATGCCAAAATCAACACTTATACTTGCACTTGAACTAACAAGAAAATAAAAGCTAATACTCATATTGATTTAAAAAGGCTTCTGAAATGATAATCATACTCCAAAGTAATTGATTTAAAGGGGGATCTTGAAATAATGATTTAAATGTGAGCTAGACTATAACCAAAAAAAGGGAAGAAGTTATCTTTATAGCCCCAAACCCATAACTTCCTCCCTCATTCTGTCTTTCATGGAATCCCATATAGGTGTCATATGTCTATGCAGATCAATATGCTTAATCCACATTGAAAGATTCAAGTTGTATATATTGGTGTTATATGAGTAAAGTGCATGACCCCTTGATATTCAGTGACAGCATAATAAGGCTTAGTCCGATGGGAACGGAGGGAGGAGGGAAACTCTTAATTGAGCTTTGCATAAAACCATAACCAATAGTGATTGATGTTGACATGTAGCAATAGGATTGTCTCATCCGTTTCAACTTATATCCACAAACTGCCACAACTTTTTGAAGTTTGCACAAAATGATTTCTCCCGGATTACTCTGCTACCCACTGGCTCATGATTCAGTCATTCAGGATTCTGTTTCTGTTTCTGTTTCTCTTCATAGTAAATGTCATTCCAAGTAACAAAGACGAAATATTCAGAATTCTTAACAAAGATTATAAAGCCTGGACATAAATGCCAGTTTCACTCTACACAGTGTTTCTTTGAAAGAATGGAAGAAAGAAAGCATGTGCTCAATATCAAAGCCAAGATATTTGAAATAGAAATATACCATCAATTTTCCAGATATTTTCAGTGCAATCTCATAATTTTCAATATGAACATTGCAAGTAACCAGACTTTCCAATTCAAAAAGTCATGTTACAAATGAGGAAAATTCATAATCAACTAAAGCTACAGAATTCATTTGTCTTCGCTGGATGTGCCTATTGGAATTCTCTTCCCAACGATATAAAAGAAGCCCCTAGTCTTAGCAATTTTAAACGTAAACTTAGGAAAACATTAATCAGCCAATACTCCCCACCAACAAGCCAAGCTCAAAAATCTAAACCTACGGAAAGATAAAACAACTCTTTCCTTTTGTTATTCCTCCTTTCCTCCTTTTTTGTTTCTTTTTTAAGAATAATCTAAACAAGCCTAACGACCTGGTGGTGTACCTGCCTCCTGTCCCCATCTCCTTCTTCCTGCCTTTCTCTCGCTCTCTATTTCTCTCTTGCTCTCTCCCCTTTCTCTCTCTCTCTCTCTCTGTTACTATATTTATCTTACTTTTATTTTTACTTTTACTTTTTCTTTTTTTTTTGTATTCCCTTTTAGTGTGTTTTACTGGTATTAGCTTTCGACCATAATTATTTAAGCGTATCCATGTAACTAAGTCAGGGGCTTGCCTCATACAAGCTCTGCTTTTTTAGCAAGCCCCTCCGTTTTGAATTACTTCATCAAGGTCATTTTTTTTTTCTATTGTTCAGTACTGTTTTTTCCCAATATTTCTTATCAACTAAATTTTGTTCTACATAATACTGAATTTACTTTGTTTATATTATATTTGACTGTATTATATTATGTCTGTTTATATTTTGTTTGTTTTGAAACGGAAATAAAATCTGAATCTGAATCTGAAGCTAAAAATACCTTGGTAGTTTTACAAAGTTTAAAGACAGGGAGATATGAGGAAGTTCATGAAACTCTAAGCCATTTATTCTCTTCATATAGGAATCATGATACACTAATAAATATAAAACAATAATGCTCTATTGCTATATAAACCCTCTTTGTAATACTATTAGTCAATATAAGTAATAATAGAAATAATGTAATAAACTCACATAACGTGTACACATGTGCAGATACTACTCAACCAACAGGTAAATTGATTCCATTAAACAATCGATAACAGAAAATTGTCATATAAAAATGTTGCTACAATCCATTTCTATATGATTCATTTTTTGCTTCACTGTAACTCAAATCATAAAATAACGAACTTGTGAACAATAACTGTAGAAGACAGATAAAAGATGTAGTTCACAGTCTCATAACCATGCATTGCATGCATGCTATCCTCAAACAAATATAAAGCTACTAACCCGATAACCGACAACTTTTCCTTTGCCACCGATAGATCTTCTGGACACAACAGACTTCATACGCAAAAAGAAATGTCTGTCTTGAATGAAGTCTGTTACCACTGGGCTCTCTTCTTTTCTCTCTGAAATATCAAAATGAAATCAAGAATTGTTTTTGAATTGATTAAAACATTGTTAAAAGGACTACTACATTGCAAACTAATTACATGGTTCCATTATTATGTATTTTCTTGTGGTTTTTTAAAAACATGAATCATCAGGGTTGGTAACTAGGCTTTTCAATGATGAAATCAAAAGATTGTCATGGTGACATGTTAGGGCAGGAAATGTGGGCCTGATACTGCATGTTGTTAATTTTGTATTTATTTATTTATTAATTTGGTATATAAAGAGTGACCAGCAGCTCAGAACGAGACATTCACTGTACAAGGTAATAACATATTTACCAAGTCATTTTACATGATATTATAGATTGTCAATTATATTTGAGGAAACAAACACAGAATAGATCTGAGCCAATCAAAGTGCACAAGAAGCTCCTATTTTTATCCTTGCCTTAATCAATGAAAGGGTTTTCCTAAAAATAGACTAAATATGGTAAATGCTGCATTGGTCACTACAAAACATATACATACAATTTGTCTTGACCATAATTTTCAAAATAAACTGCACATTATGTACACATACGTATATGCTAATGATTCTCCTGAAAAGGTTCATCTTTTTGGCGGTGAACTTTCAAGCAATCAAACTAATGGATTATGCACAGGTCTATAATAACCGAAAGTTTGTTTCCATATTAAGAGTGATCTGTGTTTGACTTACTTGCTTCATCAAAGAAGTTGATGTTCATAGCAGTAGGAGAATCATCAGGCCTCTCCATACCATAACCTTTGAAGGTTTGGTGTCCAGGAAACTGAACTACAAACTGTTTAGCCAGTTCCTTCTGATCATCAGGATGAATGAAATCCATGATGGAGTTCCCTATCATGTCATACTGAAGAAAGAGATAAACAATAATACAGTTTATTTGGAGGTGTCCAGTTTGAATCATTATTTCACTCCAACCATCTTTCTCCCTTCTCAAATGCACAATGTGTACCACGAAATTCAACATAACATTCAACATAACATTCAACGTATAAAAATATTAAAGACATTAATACTCAGTATAAGTAAATAGTACTTTATGAATTTTTAAGAGTTGCATATTACTTAAAATGTAGAGCCTGATAAAAACACAGTTCTGTGCAATGCTTTTCCAAATTACAACAAAAGTGAGTAAGAAAGAATGACATCTTACCTGATGAATTCCAATCTGTTTTCCAACATTATCTGAGACATAGAGAATTCCTCCTTTTCGAGACACAAAGAGTATGAAACCATTCAGAGCCTAGGATGGGAAAAAAAACAAATGAGTAAAGAATGTTACAAACATGAAGACACACAAAAACTATCTTAGAAATTCACATCAGCTTAAAAGAATAACATGGTAGATAGTTAAGAATTAAAAGGGCATTGCATGGGAATAAATGAAATTCACTCTCTTGTACTTCTAGCTCTTAATGTTGTTTGTTACATTATTTTCCAAGGATAATTGCTCAGTTATTTTGAATTGATAAAAATAGCTAAATGGCTTCATAATTACATGCTTGCTGTTTGTAGTTTCATTTGATTAATGTGTCAATCATGCTCAGGGACCTACTCATTTTCCGCATAAACAAGCTACACAAATGTAAAGATATGGAAAGAATGCAGAAAAGAGAGTAAGAGAGAGAAATAGTAAGCAACAAGAGATAAGATACAACGAATATATATTACAGGTTTAACTATATAATGGTATGTTGAACATTAAATCATCCCATTCCCAAACAATTAAACTATTTATGGAGAGAAAAAGCATCTATAGAAAAGAGTTTGAAGTTGTTCAGATATGAGTAGAGATATATTACCTGAAGCATAAGACCACCTTCTTTGACTTGTGGTTTATCATCAGCTTGACTTGATTCAGTAGTAGGCCCAGCTGTGATCGCTTTCTTCTTCAGCTCATCCAACAAAGCTGTACCTTCTGTTAAATAAGTCAAAAGAATAACATCATCAATATTATACCTAACATTACAACAATAAATGATAAAGAAACGTATTACATTAATACATAAATACATAAAACATACATACATGGATAAACAGGTACATAATAGATAGATAGATACAAAATGATGAATAAACTACGTTTAAAAAAAACCTCACGAAAACATGAAATTAGATCATGTTGATACACTTCTCACTTTATAAGGAAACAACATTTAGAAGTACTTAAATCCCTCATATTTGTGCATGAAAAATCCCCTTTCCCCCTAAAAACATAATTACAACATTATATAGCACTTGTTGTTTAGCCTATGGTGAAAAGCTCTTATCAATCCACAATCTTTATAACCAACATTCATAATTCATGTAAGTAACTATAAAATGTCCAATGACGCACATTGTCACTGTAATCATCACACAGCACATAAAGGAATACATTTACATGTACGTCATTGAACTGGCATGTTTTTGTACATGCATCTGCCTGCTGAGAGGCAGACGGACTCATTTCAACACAATCACAGAGGTAACAACCTTCTGGCAATCAACAAATGACTACTCTTATAACATGTACTTTAGACTTCTTCCAACATTAAATTAAGAAGGGAAGCTTTTATATTGGAATGATAAACATGGTGATAAAGAACATGACCAGAAGCAAATGACTAAAGAATTTCATATCATTGTCAATGATGAGATGAGTATATATAAGAGAAAGAAATAGCTTTGTCCTTAAACACACACGCAATCATTTTTAATCAAAGACATAAATTAATTGAAGTTATGATTGCAATTATACAATATGGTCGTAGAAAAGATAAGCATGGTATTCAGACAATACCAGCACATATATTATTCAAGGATTTTAGCAACCTATCGTTTCATGAAAATTAGGAAACCCAATGCCGTGACAACTTGTAATTATGTACATGTATGTTACCATCATACCAGGAACTCAGTTCAAAAAGTCTAGTTCAGTTAATTTGAAGTGGGTATTTTTTCTATAAGTCGTGATTCTTCACCTTTGATACAGTACCACAATAGTATGATGACCTTATAGTTACCTTATGCCCTTCTTGGAAAATAAAGAGGTTAACTTATTCTTGAGGAAGGAAATTCATTTGTTAATTCAGAGCTCATACAAATTTAGCAGCTAAATAAATATATATCCTTGTTTTTTTTTTCTTCTATTTTGGGATACACCTGAGAGAGAAAAGATAAACCTTAACATAAACATATTTATATGGGTAGAATGTAAAAGATTTTTTTAAAGGTAAAGTTACGAAACTCTGCAAGTGTAACCCCCAATCATATACAATTGTATGTATTTTCCATAGTGTAACCAGTTACCAAACACTTTTAGTTGAATATAATTTACACTATAACATTGTTGAGCATCATTGAGGCTAAAGAAAAGATAATAAATTGAAAGAAAACAAAGTTGTTTGAAATAAATTGTATATGATTTCAGACAATGACATATATTACAGGGTACTCAAATGGCCTTGTTGTAAACTGATACTTTCTCATTGATTTACAATCACTTTCCACTGATCTGATTACCATTTTCCTATTGACAGAAGTATCAGGGTTATATGGTGTATGTCAGCAAGTCCTTAGACCTGCTAATTGCTACACCATGTGGTGTAATGGGTTATATTCTAGAGTGAAGATAGTCCAGGCTGAGCCATCTTTCCTGTGTCAAATGTTCATATCATTAATATCGTCGCTGTTTTCACGAAGTGACGTAGTTCCACAGTCTCTAACATAGTGCCAAATTATTATTTTTAGGATCCTTTTAGGAATACAGTATACCCATGAACTAAACATTGAATATTTTTCAAAATTTCAAAGAAAAACAAAGATAAAATATGAGCCGCTCTGTCTATGACGTTAGAAGTGCATTATATACAAGCAGTGTTTGAATAATCATTGGTCAATTTTAGTGCAATTGGTATTTCAACAGGTAAACAAAAAAAAGGATGGTTTCTGGTTGATGGACAAAGCAAAAACAAGAACAAAAACTAGATGAAACAAATACACCTTGCATTTCTAAATTTCACACAAGTCTAATTATTATGACATGATAATCGCATGGTGTGTTTCTTGCTTAAACAAACAGTTAAACAATGGGAAAGATCAGGCTTTGGTTCAAAATTTAATACAATATATTTTCACAGCCAAATGGCTGAATTGTGATAAAAGTGTTTAAGATAATAATAACAATTTTTAAATAAATTACTATGTAAAAAAGCAGAATTACAATGATTATATCTACATATACAGAATCAAGAAATAAAAATACAATTACAATTTTACACATTTTTTACCAATTTGGGTGCACTTGTAATTAGGTTCTAATGTTAATGCACTTCTAACCAAATCCACACGACAGTACAGTATAATCTTGTCCTCCAACACCCCCCCCCCCACACACACACACAAACAAAAATCAATACATTTCCAATTTTAGAAAATAACAAAGATACATTCTCACATAGAGGATAATAGCAGTTTTGCTTCATTGGTGCAGGAATTAAAGAGTATAATCCCCCCCCCCCCCTCTTCTCATTGGAGTCATTGATATCTCATTGGTAATTGTATGCCTTCATCAACACTCCCAGGGGACAAAAGACCTATTGGAGCTGATTGGTGATGGTGCCAAACCTTGGCTGCTACATGACCACTAGATGAACTTTGCATTGCGTATGACCCAGCATGCATCTGGATACGTAAACGGCACAAAACTGAATTCTACCTACTGAATTGATAATTGACGGAGCTAACTGGTATTGGCAAAGTAGTTCAGGTGGAAATGGGTGAAAAAATGAAGCCAGAAAGGTTTGTGCTGGTATAATATGTGAGAGTTGTAATACGTCAATGGATGATCTCCCCAAAATAGAACTTTCTAGCAAATAGAGATACATGGTTCACCTGACCTGAAGGTAAAGGTTAACTCTGAACAATGAAATTCAGACTGTCTGAATCATAACCTCATCTTCTGTGAACAGAAACCTCTCATACATTCCCGAAACACAAAGATCGGATTGTTACAAATATGATTAATATAGTGCTTATATGGATAATAAAATAAAACATAATATCTTCTAGTAGTCTAGTACAGATCCGCTAACTAACATATACAACACTGTTCTGAATGATTTTTGTTTGTTTAATAATTTATTTATTTTTAATAATAAAAAATTTTAAAAAATAGAATTTCACTGATTTCACCTGACTAAGAAATACATTTAAATAATAGTTTGCTCATCATTTAACATCCATACTTTCATTCTTTCCATGTAACATCTTGGTATAATATCTTTCTCTTAGTAATTTCATTAAAACATCCTTAGAATTAACGTATTATAAAGCTATACCACAACAATTTGATGTTATGTCACCAATACAATAAAAAGATATTTTCAAAAAAAGGTTCTTCACTGTCAAATATTACTTCCAAATAGTATAGCTGATGGCAAGCCATCTATTAAAAACCCATTTAGTGACAGCTACTGGATTATTGATAAAGGCAATGATATAGCAATCTCTAATTATCTGAACGATGAATTCATTGTCATCGTATGTCTTTCCTCTCCCAGTACCTACATGACTCATAGAATAACACGGGATTACGACACGAGAGTATTCTATATGAAATAGCCTTTCATTTAAACAGGGGAATTTTTGCTTTCTATTTCTATTGGAATGGAATTGGAAAGAAAGACACCTCTATGTTTCATAGTAAGAATCTTTTAGAGTATCCTCCACAGTATTAGCATGTTCATGGTTTCATGACCCCTTCAACAACAAAATATATATCTATAAAAAAATTATAAATAAACACTTTTAAAAAAATATAAAAAACTGACTAGATACTTGTTTGTTTGCCTACCCTGCAGACACTATGAATGTTACTGAGTAAACGTTACTTGCACATTGTCATCCATCTGCATTTCTTTTAAGTGGTCATTGATTTTTCTTTGACATACTCCATTTCATAACAACATTAAACATGATAGAACAGAATGTTTATTAAAAGAGATTTGCAGATTTTTAAATTATATCTTTAAAAATATGTATTCTTAGTCGTGTCAGTGACATATTTAGGTGTCACTTTAAATTTAAAAGAAGAAAAAAATTATCTTCAGTCCCAAATAAAATCTATCAGCTTTTATATAGTGTAAAGAGTAATGCCATGATGAGAGCGCTTTGTTTTTCCACTATGACTTGGCCGGGGCTTGCTATAAGAGGTAAGAGAACAAGTTGAGTTGGGCCTAGCATAAAGAGTAGTAATAGAAGGTGATCAGATGTGATTGTGACTTCATGACTCAAAGTCTACTCTATGTGATGCTCTTAATGATGAGATGTGACATACAGATATAGGGCTAGAACACTACTCACTAGATTACAAGAGCAGACAGTGAAATGAGATTAACCCGCTTTCCTACTCTCATACCCTCTCCAATTCTCCATTTTGGAGCCTGAAATTGCACTTAGGCAAGATGTGAGTGCCTCTAACTCTGCCTTCATTATACCATGCTCTGGCAACAGCAATCCTATGAGAATGTCTTCTATCTATCTATCTCACTATGTTTAGTAACTCTATCAAACACAAAAAGGCCTAAAGAGTGCTTTCTAAATTTCAAACTCATTCTGAATTAAAAACAAACAAATCACACATTATTGTTAAGAATGATGTGAATGGAAAGGCTAATGGTTCGTATCTCTAATACAATATTGGTACATTTGCCAGCTTTTATAGCATTCACTAAAGAATACTGCCAGTAAATCAACAAGTGGAATTTAAGTTCATTGGAAAATGACCATTGTTTATTTTTCTTGCCATTGAGAATGATACATCTCACAACAAGCCTGCTCATATAATACTGGCAGGAATCGACATGATGAAAGCAAGCCAAGAGATATGGAAACATTTTATTTACCTATACTCTCCAAATACTGTCAAGCCTTATT